ATGTGTAGAGCTGTAAAATAGGATTTTGGGTGGTAAATATTGTTCTTTCTTAAACACACTGTTAAATACAAACTAATTAGTAAAACTACTTGAAATTAATTAATTTATTGATATATTCATAGGTAAATTAACCACATTAATTATAAAAGTTTAGAACAATGACTTTAGTAATAGTGAAAAGATTTATTTTCCTTTTACAACAATGTTTTCAATTATTTTTTCTTAAGGCCTACATGTGAATGATAAGGTTGACTATCAGGACCTTGCGGGGCACAGGGAAGGTAAAGTAGAGTTCACCTGGTTCTATGTTCTCAGCATATGAAGGGATAGTGTGGTCAGAGCCATGCTCGGCCGGAATCGGTTTTTTTCTAAAAATACAAACAAGTCTGAGACTTGGCGGGGCACTGGGCAGGTGAAGTAGAGTTTAGTAGAGTTTTTAAAATATAAAATCGTCTTTTTGAATGTGGGGTCTGGTTATTTTGGGATAAGTGCTGGCAGAAGTGATGTCATTTATGGATGACCCAACCCCCCCCCCCCCCCCGAAACCCACAGTTATCTAACTAGATAACGGATAGTCTAGTATACTACTAAAACTCAAGTTTGTTTACATGTTTGAATATTTATTTGTTTGTTTGTCTGATTTGGTACTGTAAGGAAACTGCTTTATATGGGGGCTGTAAAATAGTAAGTAGGTAGAGAATTTTTTTTTATTGCAGACAGACTGTTAATCACACATTTATTTAAAGACGTTAATTAATTTATTGATTTATTCATAGATAGATTAACCACATTAATTTTAAAGTTTTAGAACAATGGCTTAACTTTGACTGAATATTGACGTTTGATAACTCATTTTTTTTTATTTGTTATTGGGGAGAATCTGCATTATGTGTAGAGTTGTAAAATAGGATTTTTGGTGATACATATTGTTCCTTCTTAAACACACTGTTAATTACAAACTAATTTAAAGCCGTTAATTAATTTGTAGAGTAACCACATTAATTATAGAAGTTTAGAACAATGACTTTAGTAATAGTAAAAAGATTTTTTTTTTACAACAATGTTTTCAATTATAAGGTTGACTATCAGGACCTCGCGGGGCACAGGGCAGGTGAAGTAGAGTTCACCTGTTTCTATGTTCTCAGCATATAAAGGGATAGTGTGGTCAGAGCCATGCTCGGCCGGAATAGTTTTTTTTTTAAATACAAACATGTCTGAGACTTGGCGGGGCACTGGGCAGGTGAAGTAGAGTTTAGTAGAGTTTTTAAAATATAAAAACACGTCTTTTTGAATGTGGGGTCTGGTTATTTTGGGATGATAAGTGCTGGCAGACGTGATGTCATTTATCGATGACCCCCCGAAACCTAGATAACGGGTAGTCTAGTAAAAGCTTGTTATTAAAACGTTTTTTTTATGAAAAAAATGTTTAGTATTTTACATGTTTCTACTTACAATAGAGTTTTATGACTAAAAACCATTGCGCGCCTATTGAACGTGATGTCGCGCTATTGAACGTGATGACGCGCGTGGTGTGGTTGGATAGAAATGCTTACTAATTTGGTAAAAATTTTAATTAATTCGTAAAAAATTAATTAGGTATCCCATTAAGTCAAATGTAATGTCACAATGCATTGTCTTCATGTCTTGACCCATGCGCCAACTGTGAACCGTATCTGTCAAGTAGAAGTGTCCGAATTTTCGCTCGGCTGTTTCGATCTAGACTGACGACAGAGGAAGCGAGTTAAATAAAAGCTTGTAAAAACGTTGTCTTCTGTCTGCGCTGGATTTGGGGATTTGGTGCAAAACGGGCACATTGTTAATGCCTTGTTCTTACGTTCATTTTGTTTTAACTATGATTTTTGACTCTCATCATCGTTAGTATTTCTTTATATCAGCCTCAATATTGGGGGGGGGGGGGGTCTTGTCCAGGGTGTTTGGTGTTCAAGTGGTTTATTTCGAAGGAGAGGGGTATGTCCGGGGTTTATGTGCAGGGGGTTATTGTCCGGGAGCCTAGAAATAGATGTTACTGAACCTATTACAACTAACTATTGTTCTCCCTGTGTCCTAGTGCCCAAGCCGGGCGGATGTTATCGGTTTTGTACTGTCAAAAAACGTATTCTTTCCTAACCCTAAACCTCCCCCCCCCCCCATGGACCCCTCTGTAAAAAAAAAATAATTGTCATAATACCATTGTTACTTATTTGAATCTATTTCTGAATCAGTATATATGTATAATTGTATATGTATGTTTAGAACAGTCACCTAAAACTGACGCTATGTTCACTCTGACTTGGTTATTCCCCCTCCTCCACTTCACCACCAGAACTGGACAAGCCGTAATTGTGTAGAGCGACATTAATGTCACACCTAGGTATACACTGGGTTGGATAATTGACCTAAAGTGACCGGACAGTGGGGAATGAAATTGACCCCCCCCCCCCCAACCCACCCCGCACTGATGTGTTAAGTACATTTCAGAAAACGAGTAATGAGGTACCAAAGTACCATAGCTTTTGAAACAGGTAAAACTCTGTAAATGTTGTTTTTGCAATTACCAGTAAAGAGGTGTGTGAGCAATTCAGTGATCTAACCCATACCTTATCATAATGTTTAAAAATGCTCGTTAAAGAACTCAAAAAGCAGTAGCTAATTAAAAAATGTATGACCTGAACTGCAAAACAAATATTTTAGTTATATGTAGGCTATTATTTAGAATATTCCACTTATTTAATTTAGTTTTTCTAGTGAAATTAAAAGCGTGGTTTTACACCAACTCTGATTTAAAAAACTTGCATTATGCTGTAATACAGGGGTTCTCAACCTTTTTTTTACTCTAGAGCACATTCTAAAATATCGGTAGGGTGGCGGGCACCACCTATTTTAAATCGAAAAACTCCTTCCATAACTTGTCATTTTCCCATAATTTATTTTCTTATTTTCATATAGTCATAATGCATTAATAAATAATAAACAAAAATGTTTCAAAATAGTAAAATTATTTGGCATTTTTTTCAAATTGCATACACACAGAGAAAGGTATTAACAAAACGTAAAGAAAGTAAACAAAACACATAAATACAAAGAAAACATTTAATAAAAAATATAATAAAGTCAATGTGATCTTTGGCATTGCATTTCATCGGCCAGAGCTTCATAATTAGGAGCGTATGACGATAATCCTGTTAGCAGACAATCATAAAGATGCTCATCGTTGAGTCGAGATCTATATCTTGATTTTATTAAGGTCGTGTTTGAAAACAATGATTGGCATAAATATGTCGGACCGAAAAATGATTCAAATGGCACTGGCCGTTCCAGGCTAGCGTAAAAAGTGCAGTCTGGCTCGCCGCTAGACAAGTTGGGACAAGTATCGAACATATTTAATAAACCTAGGCTGTCAAAAAAAAATTAAAACTGTAACAAATGAATAAAAATAAATCATATTTTAAAATAATGTTTATGAAAAAAAAATTCTGTCTCTGTCGAATAGTGAGAGGCGGGCACATACGAATCGTTCAGCTCTCGCCATGGCGCCCGCGGGCACAGGGTTGGGAACCACTGCTGTAATATTTCATCATTTATGATGACAACATATTTAATTCTGATTGTAGATAATATTTTTGTAAAAACAAATATATTACAAACTAAAGTAGTTATTGATCTATTTTGATATTTACAATTAAATGTGTAGACATATACATTTCTATATTAAGTGAGTAATTATTTCCCCTAGTTCGCTTGTCTTTGTTAATATTCTAGGAATCATTTTTTCACAAAACAGATTGAGTTCATTGTTTTTGGTTGTATTGTGTGTATATTATTTAATTTATTGTTTAGAGTGATACATGTATTGTTTTGTCGGCCTGTTTAGTGTTTTTTTTCTTATGTCTTCATTGAACTAGTTTCTATTTATTTTACATCATAGCAAAGCAATGACATACAGCTAGTTTATATATATATATATATATATATATATATATATATATATATATATATATATATATATATATATAAATTAGCTGTATGTCATTGCTTTGCTATGATGTAAAATATATATATATATATATATATATATATATATATATATATAAATGATGAATATATACATATATACATATATATATATATAAATGATGTATATATACATATATATACATATATAAATATATATACATACATTATATATATATATATATATATATATATATATATATATATATATATATATATACATATATATATATATACATATATATATATATATATATATATATATATATATATATATATATATATATATATATATATATCTGAGTATAGGTCTAAAAACACAAAATCTAAAATCAATACCTGGCAAGTAACACAAGAACGTTTGCCTACTATGGGGGGGGGGGTATCATTGGCCTATTATGTTGTGACAGGAGTGAGAGTGGAGTGCTTGCTGACACACTGTCGGGGAAAGGAGAGGTTATAAGGACAGATAAAAGATATTCGTCAATTTGTTAGGCCCTCTCAACATATCAATGGCCCTACTTGGTGTCTGGTATTCAAACAGAGCAAGTGGCTGACTTAGACCACGTCACGCCGCTTAAGGCCATATGGCCTTTTAGTTTGAGTTGGTTTAAATCATGTTTATTGATTCTGTGATCTATTTCAACGTTGTGTTTTATTTTATGGTTGTTGATTATGTGGTATATTTTAACTTTGTGGTTCTTTTTTTTTTTTTTTTTTGTAGTTGTTAATTCGATAATCTTTTTCAACTTGCTTGGAAATTTAATTTTTAAAAGTTAGTTAATATTTTTAATGTAACTGAAATGTTTCTGCTGCATTTATTAGTATTTTTTAATGTTTTATTTTATTTATTTTTTTAATGTTAGATTCTTTAGTGTAAGCCATGCGTACTAAAATTCTAAGACCTAGGTTAGAATTTTATATATTATTAAAATGTGGGATGGTGTGTTCGAATAGTATTGCGTTTGGCTTCTAGTTCGAAGGTCCGAGTTCGGATCTCGGTGGTTCGGACTTGTGACTGTAAGACGTCCCTGAGTCCATCCAGATCTGATAGGTACCTGCCTTAAGTTGGGGAAAGTAAACGCAGATGGGCATGGTTTACAAGATAGGTACCTGCCTTAAGTTGGGGAAAGTAAACGCAGATGATCATGGTTTACAACACCATCCTTTCATATGCAGAGGTCAAGAAACATAAACTCTACTTCATCTGCCCAATGGATCACAAGGTGTAAAGAAGAATGTATACTTTTTGGTATTTACTGTTAGCCTATTCCTAACCAAGTACTAATCCTAATTTTATTGTTATGCTTGAACATTTTCTAGCATTGAGCATACAGTTGCCAAACTTTATGTTAGTCCTGCTAGGGGGGGGGGATAACTATTCTACTAACCTTCTAGGCTTATCTAACTAATCTGGTCAGTGCAACCGTGGTGAAACCCACGGTGGTTAAATCTTATCCTTAACCTTAGTCTAAATAAAAAATCTTATCCTTAACCTTAGTCTAAATATAAAATCTTATCCTTAACCTTAGTCTAAATAAAAAATCTTATCCTTAACCTTAGTCTAAATAAAAAATCTTATCTTTAACCTTAGTCTAAATAAAAAAAAGTTATCCTTAACCTTAGTCTAGATAAAAACAAAAAAAGACTTTAACAATTTATTAAATGTATTAAACAAATGGAAACAATCATAAAATTGTAAAAAAAAAAGAATAGATTTAAAAAACTACAGACACGACTAAACAAAACAGACTTGAACGTGACAAAACAATATATACAAAGCACCCAATTACGGACTACCGTCCTAAAAAAGAGGAAAAATAGGCAAATCAATTAGAATGAAAGAAAGTTATATACAAGGTTCACATAAAATAAAATCTCTTAATGTTATCTGCACATCAATATTGACTAGCATAAACCAAACACTCTGCTGGGGATCAACAAAGATCACCACAGGAAGTGAAAGCCCAACAGCCAGGAGTAAACCATAACTGTGGGTCAAGTATAAATAAACATTATCCCTGGCGTAACACAAGCCCAAAGCCGCCCAAAGGATACAAAAAAGTAAAAAATCAAATACTAAATATGATAATAAAAAAATAGACAATACAACGTTGAGACAGCGTCGACACAGCAGATTATTTTTCCACGTGGTCTGGCAAAACCACAATGGCAATAAGAAAACTAACAGCCACAGAAAGAGCTAGCTCATGGACTCATGGCCAACAAACATAAGAAAATAGAAAAATAAATAACGTTTCTAGCTTACCAGGCTTACAAGAATTAGATTCACTAAATGCAACAGTTTGATGGCGTTCCCTGACTTTGATGCCTCGGATGGTCCAGGATCTGACTTCCTCACCTCATCCGCACGACATCCAAAAGTGAATCGAACACCACGCCGGAAACTGCCTTTCACACACCTCACACACTACACGTAAACACATAGTCCCTAATTCACAGATAACAAACAACACGCCACGAAACATACAACAGAATTATACAAAAAGACACTTAATATAAACAGTGACAACAATCTATAAAACAAAATATACACAAACTAGCCGTAGACAGGGACATAAACAGTTACACAGCGGCACCATAATACGGGACTACACTACTCAAAAGTACGAACAGTTCACAAAATGAAACGAAACTATACATTCCGCCTTTTAAGTTACATATAAATAATAATTATAACACTCCAGCCGCTCACATTTAAATTTAAAATAATTGACAGTCTCATAAAGTATTCATAAAGTTTCGTATTAGAATTAAATTTAGATGAAGCTAAACTGGTTTGATAATAATTTACGTACATTTGATTTTATTCTAAGTTCCTCTGATCAACTTTTCATGTGAGGCTGAAATCTGAATTTAAAATGTACACAGACAAAGTCTTGCCTTTGTTAGCAATATTCATTTGTCTACTACCAGCTACTGAAATGGTAGGTACCCGTCAAAATATAATTTTAAAATCTGTATTCATTTGTCTACTAAAATCTGTATTAGGTCGTGAACTAAAACGGATACGAAAGATTGGAAGGGGATGGGGATTAAGAATGAAGCTCACGTGAGAGAGATACATATATTTATAACAAAATCTAGTTGTCGATATCATGTTGTCTGTATCATGTTATCTATATCAGCTTTATCTATATCTATATCTAGATCTTTGGGTATGCATATGAGTATATGTATATGCATGTGTATTTGTGATCGCGTATGCATATATTTATGAGTACGTGTGCGGGTACGAGCAACTGTACATGGAAACGTACGTCTATATCTACTTCTGTATCTGAGTATGTGTCTATGTCTATATCTCTATATCTACTTCTGTATCTGAGTATCTGTCTATGTCTATATTTCTATATCTACTTCTGTATCTCAGTATGTGTCTATGTCTATATTTCTATATCTACTTCTGTATCTGAGTATCTGTTTATGTCTATATTTCTATATCTACTTCTGTATCAGAGTATGTGTCTATATCTATATTTCTATATCTACTTCTGTATCAGAGTATGTGTCTATGTCTATATTTCTATATCTACTTCTGTATCAGAGTATGTGTCTATATCTATATTTCTATATCTACTTCTGTATCTCAGTATGTGTCTATGTCTATATTTCTATATTTACCTCTGTCAATATATTTATGCCTATTCTCGCCAGGTAATGACCTTTGACCCTTTCAGTCCAACTTCAGTTCCTATACCGTACACGTCACCCAAGTTGACAAAAATCAACAGTCCAGTAAGTTGCTTTTACTTAATTTGTAAGTAGATCGTTACTTTACATTTATGTAGGTTGTTACTTGACATTTAAGTAGGTTATTAGTTTACATGTAGGTTGTTAGTTTACATTTATGTAGGTTGTTACTTTACATTTAAGTAGGTTATTAGTTTACATGTAAGTAGGTCGTTATTTTACATTTATGTAGGTTGTTACTTTGCATTTAAGTAGGTTATTAGTTTACATGTAGGTTGTTAGTTAACATTTATGTAGGTAGTTACTTTATATGTAAGAAGGCTGTTACTTTACATGTAAGTAGGTTGTTATTTTACATTTATGTAGGTTGTTACGTTACATTTATGTAGGTTAATAGTTAGCAACGTTTCGAATGTTGCTTTGTTTCGTTATGGACATTTCGACCCAAGGTCTTCGTCAGCACACAACAGTGTGGTTAAATGAAGTATGTATGTAACACACATACGCAGATAAAGAAACAAAGCAACATTCGAAACGTCAATAGCATTTGCATCTGTCTTTAACTTGTGAGGTAACTAAAAATATCTGTTTTATTAACTTATTATATTAACCTCACTGCATTTGTATTTACTTTACAAGTAGGTAGTTTGTTACTTTACATTTAAGCAGTTTGTTACTTCACATGTATGTAGTTTGTTACTTTTCCTGTAAGTAGGTTGTTACTTTACATGTAAGTAGGTTTTTACTTTACCTGTAAGTAGGTTGTTACTTTATCTGTAAGCAGATTGTTACTTTACCTGTAAGTAGGTTGTTACTTTACCTGTAAATAGGTTGTTACTTTACCTGTAAGTAGGTTGTTACTTTACCTGTAAGTAGGTTGTTACTTTACCTGTAAGTAGGTTGTTACTTTACCTGTAAGTAGGTTGTTACTTTTCCTGTAAGTAGGTTGTTACTTTATATGTAAGTAGGTTGTTACTTTACCTGTAAGTAGGTTGTTACTTTACCTGTAAGTAGGTTGTTACTTTACCTGTAAGTAGGTTGTTACTTTACCTGTAAGTAGGTTGTTACTTTACCTGTAAGTAGGTTGTTACTTTACCTGTAAGTAGGTTGTTACTTTACCTGTAAGTAGGTTGTTACTTTACCTGTAAGTAGGTTGTTACTTTACCTGTAAGTAGGTTGTTACTTTACCTGTAAGTAGGTTGTTACTTTACCTGTAAGTAGGTTGTTACTTTACCTGTAAGTAGGTTGTTACTTTACCTGTAAGTAGGTTGTTACTTTACCTGTAAGTAGGTTGTTACTTTACCTGTAAGTAGGTTGTTACTTTACCTGTAAGTAGGTTGTTACTTTACCTGTAAGTAGGTTGTTACTTTACTTGTAAGTAGGTTTTTACTTTACCTGTAAGTAGGTTGTTACTTTACCTGTAAGTAGGTTGTTACTTTGCCGCCAGGTAAAATGCAGCTCAGATCAACCTGGTGGATTTTGTACATGTGACGTCACCACAGCAGGTATACCGTTTGAGCTGACGAAACTTTCAGGAGATACAGGTAAAATTTGGCATCAAAGACGTTTTATTCCCATGAATACTGTGACATTTATCTGAATGTCTTGACCTCTACATGAATGACGTAAAACTTACCAGAAGTATGTACCAGTCAAGGTTACCTGAATAACGTGATTGACGTGATTGACGTGATTGACGTGATTGGCGTGAAGGATATTTTAATTGTTAGACATTTACCCAGCCACTTTGTATACAACTAAAAAGTCAATTTGAACTATCTGACCCTATAGCCCATTATGTTTACGACTAAAAATGCTACTTTGAACTGTCTGACCCCTATAGCCCATTATGTTTACAACTAAAAATGCCACTTTGAACTGTCTGACCCCTATAGACCCCTATGTTTACAAATGCCACTTTGAACTGTCTGACCCCTATAGACCCCTATGTTTACAAATGCCACTTTGAACTGTCTGACCCCTATAGACCCCTATGTTTACAAATGCCACTTTGAACTGTCTGACACCTATAGCCCGTTATGTTTACAACTAAAAATGCCACTGTCTGACCCCTATAGCCCGTTATGTTTACAACTAAAAATGCCACTTTGAACTGTCTGACCCCTATAGCCCATTATGTTTACAACTAAAAATGCTACTTTGAACTGTCTGACCCCTATAGCCCATTATGTTTACAACTAAAAATGCCACTTTGAACTGTCTGACCCCTATAGCCCGTTATGTTTACAACTAAAAATGCCACTGTCTGACCCCTATAGCCCATTATGTTTACAACTAAAAATGCCACTTTGAACTGTCTGACCCCTATAGCCCATTATGTTTACAACTAAAAATGCCACTTTGAACTGTCTGACCCCTATAGCCCATTATGTTTACAACTAAAAATGCCACTGTCTGACCCCTATAGACCCCTATGTTTACTACTATGGTACTGCCAGTCTGGTTGCTGCTACAATTTACAACGTGGAGGTCACGTGCAAAGAAAACAATGTCAATCCGTGAGTACAAAAATTTACGGTTAAAACAGTGGTAGTCTGGTGGTTAAAACATTGGTAGTCTGGTGGTTATAACAGTGGTAGTCTGGTGGTTAAAACATTGGTAGTCTGGTGGTTAAAACAGTGGTAGTCTGGTGGTTAAAACATTGGTAGTCTGGTGGTTAAAACATTGGTAGTCTGGTGGTTAAAACATTGGTAGTCTGGTGGTTAAAACATTGGTAGTCTGGTGGTTAAAACATTGGTAGTCTGGTGGTTAAAACATTGGTAGTCTGGTGGTTAAAACATTGGTAGTCTGGTGGTTAAAACAGTGGTAGTCATGTTAAAACATTGGTAGTCTGGTGGTTAAAACAGTGGTAGTCTGGTGGTTAAAACAGTGGTAGTCTGGTGGTTAAAACAGTGGTAGTCATGTTAAAACATTGGTAGTCTGGTGGTTAAAACAGTGGTAGTCTGGTGGTTAAAACAGTGGTAGTCTGGTGGTTAAAACATTGGTAGTCTGGTGGTTAAAACAGTGGTAGTCTGGTGGTTAAAACATTGGTAGTCTGGTGGTTAAAACAGTGGTAGTCTGGTGGTTATAACAGTGGTAGTCTGGTGGTTAAAGCAGTGGTAGTCTGGTGGTTAAAACAGTGGTAGTCTGGTGGTTAAAACATTGGTAGTCTGGTGGTTATAACATTGGTAGTCTGGTGGTTATAACAGTGGTAGTCTGGTGGTTAAAGCAGTGGTAGTCTGGTGGTTAAAGCAGTGGTAGTCTGGTGGTTAAAGCAGTGGTAGTCTGGTGGTTAAAACAGTGGTAGTCTGGTGGTTAAAGCAGTGGTAGTCTGGTGGTTAAAGCAGTGGTAGTCTGGTGGTTAAAACAGTGGTAGTCTGGTGGTTAAAGCAGTGGTAGTCTGGTGGTTAAAACAGTAATTGTCTGGTGGTTAAAGCAGTGGTAGTCTGGTGGTTAAAACAGTGGTAGTCTGGTGGTTAAAACAGTGGTAGTCTGGTGGTTAGAGCAGTGGTAAACTAGTTGTTAAAACAGTGGTAGTCTGTTGGTTTAAGCCGGTTATGAACAAACAATGACATGAATTAGGGAGGTATATCAAGAAAAAAAATTATATATATATACATATATATATATATACATATATATATATATATATATATATATATATATATATATATATATATATATATATATATATATATATATATATATATATTCTAGGCATACTGCCTAGCTTCGCTTTGGTTTTTCAAAATAACTTTTGAGAATTTGAATGATTAATTCATTGTTTATTGGCTCTTATGTGGAGTGCTTATGGCCTAAACTTGAACAGTCTGAGTAATTTCATGTCATGCAAGTATTGGTGGAGTATTCGCAAACTTATTACTCGCAAGGTTATTATAACCGCAAAGACTTCCTTAATAGTATAAATCAAATATTATATTAAATTCACTTTGCAATCAATTTTTACAATTTCCATACAATACGTAACTCAATTTATAACGAGATATCTATTTAAACGAATGCTATACTTTGTGATTTTTTTTTCTTTTTTTCTTTAAAATACTTTATTACTTTAAAAAGGTACTTCCCCTTTGTTTACTTTTTCACAATTGTTTATAAAACGCTGTTGGTAGTGTGTCAGTCCGTCTTCGCTATAGATTTTGGAACCTTAAAAGTAAACATCGAACCATGCAGTGCTTTCAAATTGCATCTCATTGTCTTATTATGACTGCTAGAGTAGGGTTTGTTTATATAACGACTTATATTTATTTTATAGTTGCTACAGTTTTTACTTTCTTGCACATCGTGAGGAAAATGTTAAATACACGCACATTACTAAAAAATATTAAACGGATGAATGTCAAATAACACTCTCGTTTAAATTCCTAGAGAAAAGCGGATACATTTTAATAACTGTAGTGTCGAAAAAACTAATTAATTATGTAACAGACTGTATTCATGGGTGTGATTATTATATTGTATTCTAACATGACATCTTACTACACAGTCACAGGCAGGCACACTCGTTCACCTTGCGCTCCCCTTTTATACCTTACGTTCTCTCCCCTTACGTCAATGAGTGATCTCACAAATGCTTGGAAAAAACATGACTAGTCGCTCACACAGTCCTTCCGTCGACCAGGGTGACAATTTAAGCGCAATTTTCTTATGTAATCCATAACAATTTTAAATCGAGATAAATCATATATTCAGCAAATAAATAATGCAACACAAGTAGTTTTAATAATTCAAAAAATTAATGAGTAAAAAATAAACTTAGTTTTATTTTAACGAGTAGGCCTACACGATGCTCAGTTTAAATTAAAAATATCCTAGGCCTACACGATGCTCAGTTTAAAAATTCTTAATTAATTTTTTGTGACCGAACGAAAGGATATTTTTGAAAACTTTCTTCAGCAATATTGTTCTAAATTATGGCAGGAATCGATTGGTAAATGTTTCAAGTCGCTAAGTGGTCTGGTTGCCGAGATATGGAGCGAAAACTGCATTTGTTCGAGGTTTTTTGCTTTTTCTGGAAATCCAGGAAGGAATTCCGGGATTTTTTTTTACCCACAATCATCCTTGGAACTTGCTTAACATATTTGCTTTTGGAACTAGTCCTCGATATTGCTTCGTTGAGGAGGAGATACGACTTAAAGCTGCGGACACACATACATCCATCCATCCATTCATTCATTCATCCATCCATCCAGAAATGACGAGTTAATAATCGCAATTGTCCGTATGGAAATTGCGCTAAAAATGTGAATGCATATGCTACGGACGTCTAAGCAGAAGCGTAGCTGGGGGGGGGGGGGGCGGGGGGGGGGCCGCCCCGGGCGCCGACCCTAGGTAGCGCCAAAAGGGGTGGGAAAATAATTTTTTTTAAAGATGATTTTATGCTGCTTTCCAGCTTTTTCGAGACTAAAATCGGAAAATTGGTGAGTCGATAAACGTTACCACTTATACAAGAAACCGATTGCATTAAAACGTATTGTACGATTGTTTAACCGTAAAATACGTTATTGACTTTTATCAAGATGCTGCAGGGGGGGAGGCGCTTTTAGGCTAAGTAAAATCGCAAAATTACACTGGATTTTGAGTAAACAACCTTTAGCACTTAAAAACGAAACTAATAGTATTAAAGTGCATTGTACGATTGTGTAACATTTTTAAAAAAAGTTAGTCACTTTAAAACCCGCTCTACACAATTTGTCCAAGATGGTTGGGAGGTGTGTGTATGTGTTTTTTTAGAGGGATGGGAGCGCTTTTTTCGCGAACAAAAATCGCAAAATATTTGTTCTGGATTGGTGAGTGGATCACTCTTTTAACACTTAGAAAAGAAACCAATTGTATTAACGGGTAATGTACACTTTTACTAGCCAGTTTTGTCAAGAAATGACGCGACTAGTTCTTTGTAAGATTCTTATGATTCTCTCAACTTCAACGCGAGAGATCAGATACTATTTCTTTATTGCATTACATCTTGCCTGGATCACTGTAGTAAAGAGAAATGAATATCACGTATTCTTGAATCACTAGCCTATCAGTAAATTAGCTTACGGTCGGAGCGAGGGGTCGAAAGACGATACTCTAGTCGAAATTTTAAGAGCTAAAAACATAAGCATATTGAACCGAATAGTTCATTGTTTTATTGCTTGTTTCATAACAAGTCTTAATACTGCAATCCTAATATATAAAAGCCCAGTGTGCGCACTTCTCTCTCTCTCTCTCTCTCTCTGTCTGTCCGCAAAATATTTTCGCCGGACATCACATCAGAAACTGCAGCGATATATGGATAACTTGCTACGGACTTTTGTTGAAAAAAATATGTTGATGTTTTAAATGTATAACCACAATTTTATTTAAAGAAGAAAAATAAAAAATGAAGGCGTATTCGAATGTAGGGAAACAGTATTATTTATGCAACCGGAAAAGTGTTTAAACTTGGAACAAGAAACGCATTTAACAATGACGTCGCTTATTGTTTACACTAAAAAAAGCACGAAACTGATGACGTCATCTTCCGAGTTTAGAATAAAAAGAAATGAACTATTTCATTCAAATATGATTTAGAGCTATGTACGCTATGAAATGTATACAATACGATTTTCTCGGCCTAAACTTTAAAAAATTATTTTATCTATTTGGATTCTAGATCTAGAGATTCTAGATGTAGATATTGATCTAGATCTAGATATTCTAGATCATCTAGATCTAGAGATTCTAGATCATATAGATCTAGAGATTCTAGATCTAGATGATCTATAAAGTTAAGTTGTCGGGTGCCCGATAGGGCACTTCCCGGCGCCGTAGGCGCTTCAAATTTGGCAGGATCTTGCCTTGGGGCGACAGAACACGGGGGCCGGTTGGCCGAAAAGTTTACGATGAGGGGGTCAAAACTGACCTCGACTGACCGGCGCCTTATATGGGCGAATTAATTAAGCATTCAAATTCTCAATGTTTTCGAAAGCCTAAGCGAAGCTGGGCAGCATGCCTAGTTTTCATATAGTTTAGGCCACTAGACCTACTAAACGATGTAAAACAATGGCTCAACACGGAAAACAGATGATGTTTTGTCATTTTGTCCAACCTAACTGATAATTTAAAACTATAAAACACTATTATCGAAATTGTTCTAAAGACACAACCAAAAGTAGACCAAATAAGCTTGCACCGTATACAAACTTCACTCTAAAGCAGTGGTTCTTAATGTTTTTGGAGGTACGGAATCTTACCAGTTTCATATTCGCCTTCACCGAATCCTTATTAACAGTTTTATCGTCCACATTGACAAATTCTTATCGTGAATTATATGTAAGGTGTATGTCTAGACCTCCGCCGAGGCTCTGAGACTTACATACCATCTCTTGGGTTCGATTGAACCCATGTTAAGAACCACCAGAGTTTCTTCCAGACAGCTCTTCGGGGGGGGGGGGGCGCCACCCCCGTAAAAAAAGTCTATCGCACCCCCATACGAAATGGAATTTATATAGAAAATATATACATTGAACAGTGTCCGCCCCCCCTCCCCGAAGAAAGTCTACCCCCCCCCCCCCCCGAAAATTTCAATTGCCCCCCCCCCCCCTGGAAGAAACACTGAGAACCGCTGCTCTAAGCTTTTTCATTTTCTTCTTTTTTTTTAGTTTCGATTTCCAAAAGAGCATAGACGTAGGGCATAGGCAACACTTCGTCAACTAACTTGATTTATATAGATAGAACTCTGATACATCCCACATCTCTATTTCAAACGATTTTTTTCAGACATTTTTTGTCTCCTTCTCTTTCTCTTTCCCCGTGGACTTTACACCAGCACCTGCTTAGTGATGTTATTTACTGTCTTTCTGATACTGTGCCCTAACCACCACTTTTTCCATGTTCTTATTTCATTTGCCACTGTCAATAATCTAGCTCCGAGCCATACAGTAAAAGAGACTTCACATTTAGCTATAGATCCTGATTGATATTTTTTCACAATGCATTTGAATTCCACATTGTCTTCCAATTGGATTCCAATTTATTTCCTCTAGTTTGTTTCGTTATACCATCAACCAGTTAACGAAATACCCATGTCGTATTCCAATGCGAACAATAAATGTTTCTGAGATGTTGCTATTGTATGTCACTTGTATGACCTTATTCTAACAAACTTATTATTCAACTATGTACCATATCACAACTGAGATCGTTCCTAAAATAGAACATAAAAGGCTGGTGTAAACAAATTAGCGCTTGCTACAAACCACCTTCTAACTCATATCTGGAATATTTTTCTTACTGACATTACTAATCTTTCGTAAAAGGGAAAACACATCTTAAATAAGAATTTAACTGGCGTAAAGTTTTAAAGAACGAAAATCATACACTGTAATTATTAAACCTTTTCCGGACTGTCGCACACACGCATACATACACACACATACACGCTTACACACACACGCTTATACACACACACACACACACATATATATAGGCCCTGCTCTGGCTTCTGTGAAAAACCTTTCTGTTAAAGACCATTACCTGTGTGTTTAGTAATCATCATAAACCCGGCATTGCCCACCCAAACCACAACCAACCAAAACCAAAACAACAAAACGCAAACATAACGCTAGCACACATACAAATACAAACGAAAACAAAAACCTAACAACAAACCCAACCACAACCACAAACACAAATACAAACACAAAGAAAAAACAAACAAAAAAGCAAACGAAAACAAAAACCTAACAACAAAACCAACCACAAACACCAATACCAACAAAAAAAAACAACAACGAAAAAGCAAACGAAAACAAACCAAATCCAAACGCAAAACCAACCAAAAACACAAATACAAACCCAAACAAAAAAAACACAAACAAAAACGAAAAAAGAAAGAACAAAAACGAACCAAATCAAAACGCAACCACTAACGCAAACCCACCTAAACACAAAGAAAACACTAACGCGAACATAAACGCCCGGGGCGGAATCACCTGTTTTAGCTTAATGAACGACTATAGTACCCCAACTTATTCATAGTCTTTTGCACTCACTTAAACGAACGCGCCTGTTTCAATTTAATGAACAATTTTAATACTCCAAGCTTATCCGTAAAATACCTACAACATTTGCACTTGATCAATCCCCGCTAATTATGTAATTATTTTTTTTCCCAACACCAAAACAAAGTAATAAAAAGTAAATTATTTTCCACTAATGCAATGGTTTTATAAAGGGAAGTAATTGTGTTTTCCTAATTTATCAAAGGGAAGTAAGTGCTATAGGACTAAATAAAGACATAATTAGAATTTTTGTAAAAGATGATATTTTTTTAAAACTTGTGTTTAATGAACATGTCGACAATTATTACTATAATTTGAAAAATGAAAATTATTTCCCAACACTTTCAATATTATTTTTTTAACTCATAAATTTAGACAAATGCGCACGATAATTGTCTAACACTTAAATCCATCCAAGACCAACGACAAACATATGCGTTACATACAGAACTGAGCTTTATATATATTATATATATATATATATATATATATATATAAGGGGGGGGGGTGCCAAATTGAAAAATCGCCCCGGGTGCCGGGAAGGGTCGCTACGCCTCTGCCTCTAAGAGAACATTATAGTTGTAATAATATAACTAGCAGGGATTGATAAAGTGCAATATGGTAGGTAAAACACGGATATTTAATATACTGCCTTTATTTATTTTATACACTGAACGTTCTGTTAACTAATTTTATTTTTAATCATTAACATTCTAGAAGTCACTCCTAAAAAATTGCCTATGTTTACTTTTTTGGGGACAAGCTTTGGTTTTTATAGTCGTTTACTAAATTAAATCAGGCGCATCCGAGCGCCCGGGCAGGGTTCGATTTTGCGCGATGGGCTATCCTGTGTGCACTATAGGTTTGTGTTTGCTGTCCATTGTTTGTGTTTTCTTTTGCGTTTCTGTGTTGCGCTTGTGTTTGTGTTTTTTTTTTGCGTTTGCGTTTGTGCATTGTGTTTTTGTTTACGTTTTCTTTTGTGTTTGTATTTGCGCTTTTTTTCTTTTGGGTTTGTAGTGGACTTGATTTAATCGGGCAAAACTTCTGAATCCAGATTTATCAAAATGTTGGTGTTCGGCGGAAAGACGTAGCGAGGCGAGGGGGGGGGGGGGGGAAGGGAGCGGAAGGCACCGGGTGATACCATTTAGGGGGGGGGGTGACACCAAGACAAAAAATAGCAAAATATATTTATATAGAAAAATGATAATTCCACTTAAGTGATTAATTATAGTGTTAAATAGTCTTTTAAGAGCGAATCTGACAGATTTCGACAAGTGTGGCGGGAGGGGGGGGGGTGACACCATGACGTAAACCTGCTAATGATATTGAAAACATGCTATTTCAAGCTGTATTTATAACCGAATTTAAATAAAAATCGTTAGTATTATATCTGAGCACATCATTTTCTTATTTTTAACTGTTTTTCTTAGTTCGCATTTTTACAAGCTTTTACTTAGTTCGCAACGTCTGATTGTTTGTTTGTTTGTTTGTAGTTTGTTTGTTGGTTTGTGGTAAATCTTGTAATTCAATTTTGACCCACGTCTAATGCAGCGATTTTGTTCAAACTTTCTAGATAGGTTCCATTTCGATTATTATACAAGTCTATCTATTTTTAAAAAAATTAATTAGATGTTTAATTATTCATTAAAAATTAATTTAATGGTTTCGAAACTAAGAGGAGATAACAAAATTAAATCAGTCGATAGATAACTATGTTCAATAAGAGAAGGGGAGGTACCTAGCTAGACTGCTAGACGCTATCAACCGATTAATGGGACAGTTTGACTGAACGCATTGTCTGACAGCTTGACTTAACGCACTGTCTGACAGCTTGACTGAACGCACTGTCTGACAGTTTGACTTAACGCACTGTCTGACAGCTTGACTGAACGCACTGTCTGACAGCTTGACTGAACGCACTGTCTGACAGCTTGACTTAACGCACTGTCTGACAGCTTGACTTAACGCACTGTCTGACAGCTTGACTTAACGCACTGTCTGACAGCTTGACTGAACGCACTGTCTGACAGTTTGACTTAACGCACTGTCTGACAGTTTGACTTAACGCACTGTCTGACAGCTTGACTGAACGCACTGTCTGAAAGCTTGACTTAACGCCCTGTCTGACAGCTTGACTTAACGCACTGTCTGACAGCTTGACTGAACGCACTGTCTGACAGCTTGACTGAACGCACTGTCTGACAGTTTGACTGAACGCACTGTCTGACAGTTAGACTGAACGCACTGTGTAACTAAGAACCTACAGTCGCCACCGCCTGTAGCTGCATTGTAGCCTGTATGAACCAACTGCTACTGTCTATAGCGGCTTCAAAAGAACGCTACAAGTAGAGGCTACAGCCAACAAGCCACCAACAATTACAGGCTACCCAACAGGTCAGTTCAAACAATCTTAACATTCACTGCAGGACTCAATTGATAATAATAAAATAAAATTACAAGCAGATCACCACTACAGTCACCATAAGCAGATCACCACTACAGTCACCATAAGCAGATCACCATTTGTGTGGATGTGCATGTGTTTGCAAGTGTTTGGGTGTGTGTGGACGTAATTGAGCTCGTTTACCTTTGAACTTTATTTGTGTGTGTTGTGTGTATTGGTGTTTGTGTGTGATTATGTATGTTTTATCGTGTTTATGGTCCATCTTGTGTGTGTGTTTGTGTGAGTTTTTTAGGGTGTGGGTGCGAGTTGAGAGTGAGTGTTTCTATGTGTGTTATAGTGTTTGGGTGTAGGTGTGTTATGGTGTGTGTTAGTACCGTCGAGCATGTTATATGGAAGTGTTTGTACTCAACTGTAAACACATCTCTCCACTAGTCACCACGTCTACTGATGCCAGTAACACAGGTCAGTACGATCAGGTCTACAAGATCGCTTACACAGATCCAGAGAAAGACGCGGTGTCTTTTACAATGAAGCAAACTCCAAGCCTCGGACTGTTTTCAATAGGGGCAGGTAAGTCATGTCGTAGTGTGAACAATGATGTTTTATTGGCTATGTACCTTTGATTGCTCTATGTGTACTATGATGTTTTATTGGCTATGTACCTATGATTGCTCTATGTGTACTATGATGTTTTATTGGCTATGTATCTTTGATTGCTCTATGTGTACTATGATGTTTTATTGGCTATGTATCTTTGATTGCTCTATGTGGACAATGATGTTTTATTGGCTATGTATCTTTGATTGCTCTATGTGTACTATGATGTTTTATTGGCTATGTATCTTTGATTGCTCTATGTGTACTATGATGTTTTATTGGCTATGTACCTTTGATTGCTCTATGTGTACTATGATGTTTTATTGGCTATGTACCTTTGATTGCTCTATGTGTACTATGATGTTTTATTGGCTATGTACCTTTGATTGCTCTATGTGTACTATGATGTTTTATTGGCTATGTACCTTTGATTGCTCTATGTGTACTATGATGTTTTATTGGCTATGTACCTTTGATTGCTCTATGTGTACTATGATGTTTTATTGGCTATGTACCTTTGATTGCTCTATGTGTACTATGATGTTTTATTGGCTATGTACCTATGATTGCTCTATGTGTACTATGATGTTTTATTGGCTATGTATCTTTGATTGCTCTATGTGGACAATGATGTTTTATTGGCTATGTATCTTTGATTGCTCTATGTGTACTATGATGTTTTATTGGCTATGTATCTTTGATTGCTCTATGTGTACTATGATGTTTTATTGGCTATGTATCTTTGATTGCTCTATGTGTACTATGATGTTTTATTGGCTATGTACCTATGATTGCTCTATGTGTACTATGATGTTTTATTGGCTATGTATCTTTGATTGCTCTATGTGTACTATGATGTTTTATTGGCTATGTATCTTTGATTGCTCTATGTGTACTATGATGTTTTATTGGCTATGTATCTTTGATTGCTCTATGTGGACAATGATGTTTTATTGGCTATGTATCTTTGATTGCTCTATGTGTACTATGATGTTTTATTGGCTATGTACCTTTGATTGCTCTATGCGGACGATGATGAAGTCTACCTTTATCTGCTAGCTGACGGTATCATCCGATCCACTGTTGACCTCAGGTATGCCACAGTTTCGGCCTTCACCTTGACGGTCACTGCCAACGACGGCCATAATCTGATCTCAGATTTCATCGTCAAACTTTCACTAACTAGTAAGTCTGATTTGGGTTATAGATTATATAACCAGATCACCACAGAATCCAAACTTTCACTAACTAGTAAGTCTGATTTGGGTTATAGATTATATAACCAGATCACCACAGAATCCAAACTTTCACTAACTAGTAAGTCTGATTTGGGTTATAGATTATATAACCAGATCACCACAGTACCCAAACTTTCACTAACTAGTAAGTCTGATTTACATACGTTTGTAAGTCCCTGTTAGATTCCATCATTATATTCTTACACAGTACCAAAAATAGAACACTGACCCATAGACTACCTACCTCCAAAGATCTAAACACTGTCCCATCTATGACACAGATCTAAACACTGTCCCATCTATGACACAGATCTGAACACTGTCCCATCTATAACACAGATCTAAACACTGTCCCATCTACGACACAGATCTAAACACTGTCCCATCTATGACACAGATCTGAACACTGTCCCATCTATAACACAGATCTAAACACTGTCCCATCTACGACACAGATCTGAACACTGTCCCATCTATGACACAGATCTAAACACTGCCCCATCTATGACACAGATCTAAACACTGTCCCATCTATAACACAGATCTAAACACTGTCCCATCTATGACACAGATCTGAACACTGTCCCATCTATCAGCAACCTACCGGCTGTTACTACAACGGTGCTCGAATCAGCCAAGGCTAATGACGTCATCTGGACTTTTAATGTGGTGGATCCTGATCCGTACGTTAACCCCTTCGTTCCTGTTTGCGCAACTTTTGACAGCAGCGACGTCACCAAATTTAAATTTACTGGTAACCCTAACTTAGTATCAAATTAAGTTTAGATTTACTGGTAAACTTAGTATCAATCAAATTAAGTTTAGATTTACTGGTAAACTTAGTATCAATCAAATTAAGTTTAGATTTACTGGTAAACTTAGTATCAATCAAATTAAGTTTAGATTTTCTGGTAACCCTAACTTAGTATCAATCAAATTAAGTTTAGATTTACCGGTAACCCTAACTTAGTATCAATCATATTAAGTTTAGATTTGCTGGTAACCCTAACTTAGTATCAAATTAAGTTTAGATTTACTGGTAAACTTAGTATCAATCATATTAAGTTTAGATTTACCGGTAACCCTAACTTAGTATCAATCATATTAAGTTTAGATTTACCGGTAACCCTAACTTAGTATCAATCATATTAAGTTTAGATTTACTGGTAACCCTAACTTAGTATCAAATTAAGTTTAGATTTAACGGTAACCCTAACTTAGTATCAAATTAAGTTTAGATTTAACGGTAACCCTAACTTAGTATCAAATTAAGTTTAGATTTATTGGTAAACTTAGTATCAATCAAATTAAGTTTAGATTTACCGGTAACCCTAACTTAGTATCAAATTAAGTTTAGATTTACCGGTAACCCTAACCAGAAGCGGATTAAATGAGAGGCTGGGAGGGCTGCAGCCGCGGGTCGCCAAGTTTCCTCTAACAAATCATAGTAAATTCCACTTTATAGCGTAACTTTTACTCTCTCCTATATACAGAGTATAGAGAAAGTATTGTAATCGTGCACAAAACAAAATAAACCGGGATAGATCTCCCCTAAACTTTCTCGAATATTCTTATATAAAATAACAGGGGATGGGAACTCAGGCTATAGACATGATTTTTAATCCATTTTAAATACTTAAACTTTTTAAATTAGAATAAAATCTCGTAGTAAAAAGAATTGCACACCAAGTGAACGCCAAATAAAATGTGCATAATAGTGCGCATTATTATTAGTACTTTATAAATTTACATTAGTTTTTTGAGAAATCGGAAATAGCGTAAATTACTCCTTCCGGTCAACGGAAATTACTCAAAATTTAATAGAGAGGAGATAATTGGATCTTAACTTACTTGTGAAATTTCATTTATCTATGTGAAATAGTACTCAAGTTTTAGGCTTTTGAAAAATTCAAAGTAGAAAAAGTACCACTTCCGGTTATCGGAAATCACTCAAAAGTTTATTCGGTTCTACGATTTTGATATAATACTTATATATTAAAAATTTCATCAACCTAGCTGTAACGGTACTCAAGTTATCGTGTTTACAGACACACGCACACACACATACACACACATACACACAGACATACGGACAAGATTGCAAAACTATGTTTTTTCTGACTGGACCAGGACGAGAAAAAAGTTTGTGACATACCTACAAGCCCTATTTCATTGTATGATCAGTTATGCATTAGATCATGATCAATACAAAAACTAGCTTTAATAAACCAGGAGTAATCTCCCCTAAACTTTCTTGAATATTTTAATATAACACGACGGGCTAAGGCAACTCGGGACATAGACATGATTTTAAATCCATTTTTAATTACTTAAACTTTTAAAAATAGAATAGAATCTCGTAGAAAAAAGAATTGCGCACCAACTGAACGCCAAACAATCTGTGTATAATAGTGCGGAATATTATTTGTACCTTATAAATCCTCATTCGTTTTTTTTTTTTTTTTTTTGAGAAATCGGAAAAAGGGTAAATTACTTAACTTCCATTCAACGGAAATTACTCCAAATTTAATAGAAGGCAGAGAATTAAATGTTTTACTTTTCTGTGAAATTGTGTTTATCTATCTGAAATAGTAGTCAATTTATAGGCTTTTGAAACACTAAAAGTAGAACAAATTCCATTTCCGGTTACCGGAAATCACTGAAAAGTTGATACAGAACAACGAATTTGAAATAATACTGTATATGAAATTTCATTTACCTAGGTGTAACGGTACTCAAGTTATCTTGTTCACAGACACACATACACACAGAGACATAAGGACAGAATTGCAAAGCCCAGTTTTTCCGACTCGATTACGCATAGAACTCTGACATTCTGATAAATCTGCATTTATTATTTTTGCCCGATTAAAATAATTCCCCTAAACTCCGTATATGATGAAGCACTGAGGTGTAAAACGATGAAAACTGTCTCAAAACTTCATAAGATTTTTGTGCACGATTACAATACTTTCTCTATAGGTCCTACTCTGTATGCGATAAAGTAAAAATGTATTGGTAAAGTTTCCCATAAAATTGCCCAATCGAAAAACTTCGCATCGGAAAATTGCGCAACATTGAGCAAATAGAATCTAATTTTAATAATACAATATATATTTTCTTATTTCCTGGAAATATGTTTTTATGCTACGGTGTACGTGTGGTAATTCTTAGCTAATCAGCATTTTGTTTTTGTGCGCCGTTTTCCGTTATGCAGATTTCCTTTGCGAATCTTTCTGGTCACCATAAGTAAACAATGAACATACCCACCAATGTTTTAACATATAAAAAAACAAATTTTATTTTAAAAAGGTATTTCAATTATAATAAATCCAAAGACGATCTAAACGTGGTTGTTATTTAAAAATTATATCGTAGAATGCAGTTAATGAGATATTTAGGATGTAAAAACAATACTTTTTTTAACACTGTTACTCATAATTCTATATACTAACCATTCACAAGCTACACAGATTCTGGTTGCCTATGACAATGCTTTGGACTATGAAACTAAAACAACCTACAAGATTACATGTACGCTATTTGACGGGTTTCTGAGCAGGTAAATGATAGCAGATATATTATTTAACATTTACGGCAGATTATATAATACTTAGAGGTGGATTATTTATTTCTAGCAGGCGTCCATTGACCTTAACCCTTTATTTACGGAATTATGTTCTGAATGAAATTTTTACTTAAACAATGTGTTACTATATTGTTTTTGGCACATTCAAAGCATATGTCGAAGGAAATTTCGTTTCATAAATTTGTAATGGCCCAAACGTATATTGGTACTTATAAGTACCGTCAGGAATGTAGGACATTTTTTTTCAAAAAATTTTTTTTTACAAAATAGGAACAAACGATACAATTTATCAACTAATAACATGGCAATCATTATAACAATCACTTTTTGTAATTTTCACACATAAATACAGCACAAAAGTATATTTTGAGTACGATTTTTACTGGATTTTCTATCGGAACACATCTTAGACCTCACAGCAAAAGTTGCCGACATGACAGTTGCAGTTGCAGACAGTTAATTGCAGAAAATATAACTAACAAATCGAAACTTACAACTAGAACTAGGCTTTGGTATACACATGAAGCATACTAAACCTTGTAACCGAGCCTGCAACTGATACCTTTATTCTTGTTATTTTTTTACTACTAGAAATTAACATGTAATTGCAATATTTCTTAGGTAAACCATATGCCAACCTTCTTATAAATGTGTAAATATCATTTTTTGAGTACATTTCGATAATTAATTATCAAGACAATATTTATGTAACTCCACATAAAAATTCTGCCATTTTCAAATATCCTAAAAAAATGTACGTGTGCCCTGACGGTACTTATAAGTCCACTTGTAAACATCGTTCTAATACAAAGACAATTTGATTAAAATTGTATAACTACAAGTTAAACGCGTTTGCCTGACTTTTGAAGTTGCCAATAAAAAAAATTTGGGGTTGAAAACATGAAAAATAAGGTAAAACAAAGGGAAATCAAGAACGTGTGTGAGAACTATACAGAAAAATTGTGAACTACCGATATAGCAAGACATTGAAAATAGCGCCACACCATTAATTTAAAAAAAAACATTGATACCTCCGACTACCGGCGACTCAGGGGAGATAATACTATTAATTACCTCAATAATTTTTAAAATTCGTATTAAATTAAAAATAATACAGGCACTTAATTAAAGTGGTACTTATAAGTACCGTCAGTAGATAAAGGGTTAATAAACGATGGACCTGACATCTCATGCGACGAAACAATACTAAAATTACAAGCCATTTCGTGAAACTCAGTCTCCAAATACATTCGCCTCCGATGGCAATACAAGACAAAAAATAATTAATTTAATTAGACATAAGCTTAGTCAATAAAATGAAATTTAAAAATCACTAAATTCAACAATAAAAGGGAGATAATCAACCACGGCTGGTTTAGTTTTATCCAGAGATGACCACAACTTACTCTAAGCCGGCAGATAATTGCCGTTTAGACATTGCAAGCTACTGATCAGGTTTTAAAGCAAATAATATTATTCAAATGGGATGTCGACTTTATTCAAAAATGTAGAAAATAAAACAAAATTTAAAAACGTTTACATAATTTTTTTTTTAAATAACAAATCAAATTTTCATTCTATTATACCATACATCGATCAATACCTTTATTAAAGAAAGCGAGTTGGTTCTACTGTTTTTAAAACTAAAGTGAATTCAAATACTTTTTATTAAAGAAGTTTTTAAAATTGTTTCATTTTCTTATTTTCAGTACTTTTAAAAGTTCATTATAACACAGGTTTTTTTTTTCTTATTATTATACACGTTTTATTTTTGTTTTATTTTGACTTAACAGCTCAGGTGACGACATACTCACTATTTTTGTTTTATTTTGACTTAACAGCTCAGGTGACGACATACTCACTATTTTTGTTTTATTTTGACTTAACAGCTCAGGTGACGACATACTCACTATTTTTGTTTTATTTTGACTTAACAGCTCAGGTGACGACATACTCACTATTTTTGTTTTATTTTGACTTAACAGCTCAGGTGACGACATACTCACTATTTTTGTTTTATTTTGACTTAACAGCTCAGGTGACGAAACACTCACTATTTTTGTTTTATTTTGACTTAACAGCTCAGGTGACGAAACACTCACTATTTTTGTTTTATTTTGACTTAACAGCTCAGGTGACGACATACTCACTATTTTTGTTTTATTTTGACTTAACAGCTCAGGTGACGACATACTCACTATTTTTGTTTTATTTTGACTTAACAGCTCAGGTGACGACATACTCACTATTTTTGTTTTATTTTGACTTAACAGCTCAGGTGACTACATACTCACTATTTTTGTTTTATTTTGACTTAACAGCTTAAGTGACGACACACTCACTATTTTTGTTTTATTTTGACTTAACTCAGGTGACGACACACTCACTATTTTTGTTTTATTTTGACTTAACAGCTCAGGTGACGAAACACTCACTATTTTTGTGTCAGATGTGAACGAAGCGCCCGTGTGGTCCAGCAACAATTATTTCTGCAATATTAATGAAGGGGCAGTAAGTTATTTGTCACATTCATTACAATAATGAAAGGGCTATAATTCAATCATATTCATTTCAATAATGAAGGGGTTGTAATTCAGCTCTCATATTCATAACATAGCTCTTGTAAATAGCTGTCCAAATAATTTCACGACCCCCACCTCCTTTATTTCTAATGAGCTTAGACAGGAAATTTCATACAAGGCTATGAGTAACTAACCAAAAGCCTAACTACTTGCTTCTCGTAATATATCTCTAACAAATCTACTATCCTCTAAGTTAAATTAGTCAAGAGTTAAGTTAGAGCTCCTCGCGTATCTGCGCGTGCATTAGTCTTGACTGCTCACTATGTTTATCTGCAGGCTAACGTACCGTCATGCATCCTTGGTGGGAGTGTGATTGACCCTGAAGGGGACAGTTTTTCAGTGGATATTTCAGGAGACAGCGGCTATTTAAAGTTAGTGTTTTAGTCTGATATCTCAATCTCTCTCTCTCTCTCTCTCTTTATATATATATATATATATATATATATATATATATATATATATATATATATATATATATATATATATATATATATATATATATATAATATATAGGGTGCAGTCTGTTTTTGGCATTCACGTACAATTTACTTTATAATAGCATTATGTCTATTCTAAAATTTGGAATACATAAGACGCATAAATGCACATATTTTTATTGCTTATTCAGTTTTACAAAACGGTCTTCATTTTAAATTGAAAAAAGAAACAACATTAATTTATTATGGCTTATGCTGTACTCTAGAACTTTTTATAGAACTACAACATCCTGTTTAGTAGAGGTTTCTTTTTAGCAAACTTATCAATTACGTCTTTTAAATCAACATCAGAAGCTAATTGCCGTTCAATCGTAATCAGGGCTAAACTGGACAACCTGTCTTCTGTCATAGTAGAACGGATGTATGTTTTATGGAGTTTAAGATGGACAACCTGTCTTCTGTCATAGTAGAACGGATGTATGTTTTCAGGAGTTTAAGATGGCTGAAGGATCTTTCTGCTCCGGCACTGCTTGTTGATGGCAAAGTCAGAAATATAAGACACAACTAGACAGGTTTGGATACATGGAACACAAGTCATTAGCTATAATGAATTTCAGAATGCTGTTAATTGTCACCGCTATTTCCAGAGGCTCCTTTCAGTTGAAACTCCCTTGTTTGCACTGCTTACACTAAAAACTTGTTGGTAAAATGTTCTAAATTATACGAATTCCTGCACTTCTTCAGTCCCACTTTCAACATTATACGAGTAGATCATTGTAAATTGCTCCAAATGTATCAAACTGTCATATAATGCAAAGTATTTTGGTTCTAAGCAACAAAGCTTTGATGACACATCCTTAAAATTTTGAAACCTTGTGTTTGTACTAGTTATGACTGAGTCCAGTGACACTAAATATGTTTGAACAATGAACGTTTTCCTAGAGTCAGATATCTGAGCATCCTCTGCACCTTCGTCATGGAATCTTTTCCATTTGTATACCCTGTGTTGCTTACAAATATCACATTTCTCAGCCAGAACGTTGGCTTCTTTCTCAATTTGTTCAAATTATGATTCAAATTCATCTCTCCAGCTTCTCATCTCATTTTCAAAAAGCTGAATTATTCGAAAATCTGTTAACACGTCAATGCTACTCTTCTGTAAATAAATGGATACGTTAAAAGTCTTGTGCAGAATTCTTTTCTTGAATATTAAAACAACTAAAAACTCAAGAATTCCCTTTCCTTCGGAAATCTGCTTAGAAGTAAAGTGTTTAACTTCACCGTCAACTATTCTTCTCAAAGCAAGAACTAGTGCTGGTATATTCTGCAATTTAGAGTCTACTGATGTCTTTATAGAAGCCAATATTGTATCACTAAGTCGTTTCAGTGTTAATGAAAATGATTCTATGGTGTTGCTTTGCTCCTCTTTCAATATAGAAAGACTAGGTAGACTTCCGGTTAAAAAAAAATATAAAAAATTATAAATGCTTTCCAGAACTTAAAAAAATAGCTGTGTTTGTATATTAGATGAAATGACATCTATGAGAATTAAATTTAAATTATGAATACAGCAGTGTGTAAAGAATGCATATAGAGCTATTTCCCTAACTGATTTTGTAGACCTGATATTCCACCAGACATGGTGTTCGCTCCATCGTAGGACTGACCATAGCACATTGTCATTGACAGCCCTAAATCTGTGACTGCTGTAAGAAGTGTTTTAAAAAAACCTGCACCAGCTTCAGGAAGCTCACAAAATTGAATAAATCTTTCGATGGCTTCTCCATGTTCAGTATCATATCGAATAGACAAAGAATATTGATCCAGGTGGATTCTATTTGAGCGCTATGTTCGGGAGTCTTCTTCTACTGTTGCGAAGAACATGAGCCAGCCAACTTGATCTCCTCATTTATAATTCTACTACAATGTCGTTTAAGCCTGTCCTTCGCCGTATTTCCATGTTTGGGATTTTGTCGTCCCACTTTATCCTAAGAATAAGTTGGAGGGATCTTCTTTCAAAACCTGTAAGGCTGCTCTCTACTTTCTTTTTTAGTTTCCATGACTCTGCAGCATAGAGAAGTACAGAACGTACATTAGACTTGTAAATCCTTACTTTCGTTTCATGGAGTTTATCTTTAGCCCAAAGCTTTTAGCAATTTGCTCTATTTTGTTCTTGGATGTCGTTTTGGGCATGTGAGAGTAAAGCCAAGTCATCAGCAAAGTCGCAGTCTTCCAGGTGGTTGGTAAGTTCCCAAACAATTCCTCTTGGCTTATCCTCAGTGGCTCTTCTCATAATCCAATCTATTACCACCAAAAAGATGACAGGTGAGATAACACAGCCCTGTCTGACTCCTGTTTTTACCTTGAACTATTTACTTTGCTGATTCTCATGTCGCACACAGCATTGGTTTTGATAGTACATGTCTCTAAGTATGTTTGTGATTTTTCCTGGAAAGCCATATAGCTCTGGTATCTTCTAAATGATGGATGGTGGATGCTATCAAATGCCTTATCAAAATCTAAGTAGTTAATGTAGAGAGAAGAGTTCCTTCCAGGGACTGTCCCACTATGGTGAGCAAGACAAATATTTGGTGTGTGAAGTTAGCAGTTTCTTCTGGGCCTGGTCTGTTCATGGTCAATTCAAATGATTCTGCCCATATTTCCAGTTGCTTTTTATCTGTTGTGAGAATTTTTCCATTTTTGTCCTTGATAGTGGTCGGTTAGAAGCAAGTAAAATAAAAGCTTGTTAAAACTGCATAAAATACATTGCAATAAGAAGCTTTTATCAGTTTATGTAATAATACGCTTAAATAGAAAATAAATCATTTTCTGTAAATATGTTATAATGAGCTACTATTTAAATAACTAAAAAGAAAAGCATGGGTCGCAATATTATGTATTGAATATCTTTACCAGAATTCAAGAAAGAACAAACGACTGGGCACTCCCTTATGAAAAATATATTCCCTTTCGTTTGGAGTTCATTAATAGGTTTATGTTATATAACATAATACTACCGAAGTTCTATTTTCATCATTGAGCGTCAAGGCTTTTATTATTAGTCATACCAACCAGGGGCGTAGCGAGGGGGGGGGCGGGGGGTGCGGACCGCACCGGGTGACACCATTTAGGGGGGTGACACCAAGGCAAAAAATAGCAAAATATATAGAGAAAAACTCGAGGGGGGGGGGGTGCAAATCGAAAGCTTGAGGGGGGGGGTGCAAATCGAAAACTCGAGGGGGGGGGGTGCAAATCGAAAACTCGAGGGGGGGTTGCAAATCGAAAATTTGAAAGTTTGTCCCTGGGAAGGGTCTCTATGCCTCTGGGGGGGTGACACCATTAAGTGCCGCACCGGGTGACACCCGACCTCGCTACGCCACTGATACCAACATCTCATCTATACCATAACTTACCTCCTAGTCCTAGAAATATCTACATTCAACTCCTTTCTAAACCACTGGACTCTCTAACAAAGTTCTAGGACAACTGCTAACTCTTGATCAGCTGACCGTCACACATCACCGGCAGTGGCGGAACTAGAAAAAAAAGGCTCCCCCGCAAAGGAAAAATTAGGGCCCCCTATATGTATATATATATATATATATATATATATATATATATATATATATATATATATATAATCTATATCCTAACTGAGTAATTTAATGTACTTCATTGCAATATATAACCATTCTGAGAGAACAAACTAGACAAATTTAATCAAAACTCATCTTGGGCTACATGAACCCTGCTAAAATGCTGGTCAAAAATATATAAATACGTAAGCTTGATTCGTGAATGGTTTCTCGCGTTATGTTTATTTTTTTCATTTTTGGCTTTTATAATATCAATTTTGAAAACATTGATTTTTATAGTTATACCATTGTTTAGTAGTCTTATTTAAATAAAAATTCAGAGAATCAATTGCTTTTTACTATACATAGTACAACACTACTTTAATGAGCTTCGTGGGCGTCCCTATTTTAAAGAAGGGCAGTAAGTCATGGAAGTTGTGTGAATGTTTGCTACCTTTCAAACTATAGCCCTTGTAGATTTTAAAATATATTTCTACGCAACAATCTCTGCTATAGTAGACCTGTTTTATTTTTTTAAATTTTTTTTTACAAAACCACTTTCAAGATGCATGAAAAATATAATTTTTGAAAAAAAAAACTCATTGTTTTTTGGTCGGAAATGGGCCCCTAAACGACCTGGGCCCCACCGCATTGCGGGGTCTGGCGGTATGGTAGTTCCGCCCCTGATCACCGGTCAGATCGTTCTCCTGCAATTCTATAGGTTCTCTTTGACCAATGTCTAGTTGGCCTATGCTATTCTACCGCCGCCTATTTTTAATTTATTTTTTAATCTTGCCCATACATTTTTCATAGACCATAATTCTGACATGGACAATAACACTGACATCGGCCATAACTCTGACATGGGCCTTAACTGTGACATGGACCAAAATTGTTTTTGACATTTTGTTCTTCAGGTTTGACATAGGTCTCGGCAGGATTACTTTCGCCAAAGACTATGACCTTGATCAGGTGGGCATGGCCCAAGACATTACGGCCATATTTAAAGCCATCGACAGCAAGGGGGCCACCAGCTCAGCGACAGTCTATGTGCACGTGACTGACGTCAACGACAACGCATGTGTGACCAATGCTGGATTAGTAAGTTGATTAGACATTAGGTACATGGACCAGCATGTAGTTAGGTTAAGGTTCGGGTCAACGATATGGCTCGTACTTAGGTTAAGGTAAAACCATGTGGTCAAACACCTTTTATGTGACCAGTAACCTGCCCCGTATGTGGTGATGTAGTTCGATCATTATAATAAGATTGAAAAATTGGATAGGGTGAAATATATAGCATTAATACATCATTTAAATAGAACAATTAGATTGGTTTAAATCTATGATGGGCTACTATGTTATCTATTGGAGACTTTTTCTAAAAGGAAGAGATCCACGCTTCTCGTTACGGTCGTTTGAATAGTAGTGTATTTTTATATACTAGATAAATAGCCCGTTTTGGGAGAAATACAACGGGCGTTGGGTTGATAGTATCATCTTTTTCTCTAAACCGAAAACAGACACACCACCTCAACCTCAAATTTAACCGGAAACGAAAAATGCATTGAAAACGGATTTTTCTTTTTAGAATCGGCATTTTAACCAGACCCGGATACGAAAATGTATGTAGAAACGGAAGGAACTTAACCAAAATCAGAAATTGACATTTTAACGCCAAAGCTAGGCAAAATTACAGAATAAAGTCCAAGTAGAGACAGAGCCGTTTTAAACCCAACGGGATCCGAACCTACCAATTCACGCGGCACCAAATCGCCTCGCCTTCCATGCATCAAGTCAGACGAGTAAACACTTCTGCCAATCAGCTCTACATAGAGCTTTCATGGCAGACCACTATCACAACCGGTGCACGGAAGATGAGGGCTGGCTTGACCTCTGAACCCCGAAGGGTCTGACCGCTAGCCTCATAAACACAAAAAGGACTATTATTCAACCAGACAAGCGACACACAAGTACAGGAACAACAATACAGACACATAGTAACTTCCTAAAATGGGTATAGTTTAAACGCGTAGAAGGTAAGGTAGCAGTCGTTGTTACTGAAATAGAACTATAAAAAGAAAAGTGATATTTCCACGCCAAAGCTAGACAAAGGGTAGGTGGGGATCCCGTTGGATTTAAAACTGCTCTGTCTCTATTTGGACTTTATTAGGAACTTTTGTTTCATTGAATAGGGATTTTTATTTATCAAGAATGGGTATCTTAATCGGATGGATACGGAAACTTAGACAGAAATTAAATTTTAAAAGATACGAAATTTTATTAAAAACAGAACTTTCTCCGGAATCAGCACTTGTCCCGGATACGTAAAATTAGGACTTATCTTATACGAAATTTAAACGAAACGGAACTTATTCGGAACCGGCATTTTAACTTAATCCGGCCTTTTAATCAGAAATACAAATTTAGCTGGATAATATAAACGATAACGGAAAATTTATCTACAGACTGACATTTTAATCGGTAACGAAATTTAAGTGAAAACAGAACTTTTATCCGGAGAAGGAAATTTGACTCAAACGGAAATTTAACAGAAATCGGAAATCTTAATAGATACGAAATTTAACTGGAAAGAAAAGTTTATTTGAAACTGGCAATTTAACCAGAACTGGAAATTAAACCTGAAATAAAACACCTAATAATCCTAACCTTAACGTTAATCCTAATACTAACAGTTACTATACGGTGCTGAGTATGGGTCTGGCCACAATATCCCTTCATATGCTGAGGTCACAAAAACAGGTCAACTCTACTTCACCTGCTCAGTGTCCCATCAACTCAGACAAGTTTTTGTCTTTTAAAATACCGATTTCGGCTGAGCATGGGTCTGACCATACTATCCTTTCATATTCTGACGTCACATGTGAACTCTATACCAGCCCAACTCTACTTCACCTGCCCATTGTCCCGCCAAGTCTCATGCAACATGTTTTTATGGTATAAAAACACCGATTTCGGCCTAGCATGGGTATGACCACACTATCCCTTCATATGCTGAAGAAAAAAATATTTGAAAAAAAATTAACATTAACGTGATGTGTCTCGAACCCGTACCGCCCGCTTGGTAACTATTAAACTATCATCTCCGCTATCGAGGCACTTCCGATTGGGGCAGAATTAGTGGGGTACTCTTTTTTTTTATCTAGATCTAGAGTTAGCGTAAGAATTACGCGAAAATGCCCAATTTATTCCAAATTAAATTTTATCCTAAAATTAGCCAATTCCATAGCTAAAAAAACAAAGATCTATATAAAATAATTAAGGCCTGAAACGGCTTAGTGTAGAGATTCATTATTGGCTTAAATTCTAGATCTAAATAGAGCTAGATATAGATCTAGATCTAGAATCCACGGCTGGCTTAAGTCTAGTTTTTCCATAGCTCTTGACCCTATATCTAGAATCTAGGTATTTAAATAAATTTTATACTCAAATTAGAAGAACTGTTGAAAATTGAAAATAGTGTTGGAACTAATAAAAATAGCAAACAGACGTATCGTTAAAGCTATAGCCGACAGAAAAGTTAGCTTTATAATGCGTTAAACTTTTGAAAGGGTAACATGATCTACCATGGAAGACGCCATGTTTGTTGTAAAAAGTAAATGAATCATGTGACGTCACTATAAATACAGTAATTGTTCTGAACTTTTATAATTAAAGTGGTGCTTCTACTAATGAATGTATCAATTAATTAATTAACGTCTTTAATTAAATTTGTGATGACCAGTTTGGTAAAAAACCCATTATTCTCTACCTTAATACGTATTTCACATCTCTACGCATAGTGCAGATTATTTCCTGTAACCAAATAGGCAAACAAAAATATTTATATATACACTTACAAGCATATATATACCTTAGTATATAGATAGAAAGATAGATTACATAAAAGCGTGTTATTAAAACATTTTTAATAACGTTATCGAAACGTTTTTCAAGTCAAGCTTGTGTTTATCTCACTGTATTTCTTGTACTGTATTTAGACATACGTCACACTGACAGATACTGATCCGCTCAAAACATTGGGAACATTGACACAGCTTGACAAGGATGTGACGTCACCTAACAAGGATACACACTTTGAGGTTTTTTCTGTGTCACCTAAAACATCAAGTGACCATATCATGGTGACACGAACTGGTGAAGTCTATTACACGAGTAAGTTAAACGTAGTAGTACATAAAGCTAAATGTAGTGGCGTGTCCAGAAATGCAGGTAGATAGGCCTCACTCTCTGCGTGTATTTTTAGAAATTGTCGTCTTTATCTGGAAATGTCGGTGTTGAACAATTAAATTAATGAAAGTGAAATAGAAACGCCTATCTTGTCTTCAATGTCTGGACTAACTGTTTGTCAGTGTATGTACTTATTTACATCGATTTGTTTTTGTTTTTGCTTTTATTTTTGTTTTTGTTTTTGTGTGTTTTTTTTTTTTTAAATTAAAGCCAAAAAGAAAAAAAAATGTATGCATAGGTACAATATCATATGCAAATAGTTTAGCGATCTTGTCTTAGCTGCCAGGTGCTCTGTTACAGTTGATAAAGTCGGTCCCCAGTCTTTATCGTATAATCGCTTTAAACAGAGACGATATGACGTGTAAATTTTATGTAAATTTTATGTAAATTGGTTTGCTGTAAAACCTTTATATATTTTTTTACAGACAAATGTACTCACACACATGTTGATGTTACATGTTTTAACTTCAAATTAAAGTATATTCACCTATTAACTAATCATGCTAATTCTCAAATGTGTTTTATAAACCTAAGCGAAGGTAGGCACTATGCCTACTCTAATATATAAAGCTCAAATGAATTATGTGACTCTTTTTACTTTCTCGTATACAAAGTATAGAGAAAGTATTGTAATCGTGAATAAAAAAAATTGAGATGTTTGCAAATCTCGACGTTTTACACCTCCCTGAGTCGGAAAACATAGTTTTGCAATCTTGTCCGTATGTCTTTGTGTGTGTATGTCTGTGTGTCTGTGTGTGTATGTGTGTTTGTGAACACGATAACAGCTAGGTTGATGAAATTTCATGTATAAGTATTATATCAAATGTGTAGTTCTGTTTCAGCTTTTCAGCTATTTCCGGTAACCGGAAATGGCACTTATTCTACTTTTAATTTTTTAAAAGCCAATAACTTGAGTATTGTTTCAGATAGATAAATGAAATTTCACATGTAAGTAGAAGATCTAATTCTCTGCCTTTTGTCAAATTTTGAGTTATTTCCGTTTATCGAAAGTAGTATTTCCGATTCCTCAAAAAACGCATGTAAATTTATAAAGTACTAATAATATTCCGCACTATTATACACATATTGTTTGGCGTTTACTTATTGCACAATTCTTTTTTCTACGAGATTCTATTTATTTATTTTTAAATAAGTAATTAAAAATGGATTTTTAAAATTTCATAAAAAACGTTTTAATAACAAGCGTTTATGTAATAATGCATTAAAAATGAGAAAATAAATTATACACTACTATTTAAATAACTATAAAGAAAAGCGTTGGGCTCTTCCTAAATATTAGTAAAGTTATCCAATAGATACTAAAGTGAACCACGCTTTTCTTTAAATTTATTTAAATAGTAGTGTATAATTTATTTTCTCCTTTTTAGTGCATTATTACACAAAAGCTTGTTATTAAAACGTTTTTATGAAAAAACGTTTTTAGTACTTTACATGTTTTATTTACACAAGAGTTGCTTGACTAAAAACCAGTACGCTCCCACTGAACGTGATAACGCGTGTTTAATAGCGCGGATAAGTTTGATAAGACAGCCTACTAATTTGGACAAAATTGTAATCAATTCATAAAAAATTAATCAGGCAACCAATTAAGTCAAATTTAATGTCATGATGCATTGTCTTCATGTCAGTTAGAAGTGCCTGCAATTTCGCTCGGGCGTTTCGATCTAGACAGAAAGACTGACGACAGTCTTATGATAGACTGACGAGGAAGTGAGTTAAATATAAGCTTGTAAAAATCATGTTTATATCCCGAGTTTCCATCCTCCGTATTATTGTATAAGAATACGAGCCGACACGCGGCATATTATACGCCGCTATTTAGTTGTTTTATTTTCTACTTTTCAGTAATTCATAATTTTTAAATTCGACAGTACCAATGCTGCCACTGAAAATATTTGCTTTAAAACACTATCAGTAGGTCGTTAAGAACGATACTACCCATACCCTCCTTTCCCCCAACCCCAACCCCTACCCTACACCCCCACCTACCCCCCACCCCCACCCCCACCCCCACTTCACCCCACCCCCACCCCCCACCCCCCGTGAAAGCAGCCTCCTCTTAGTTACCTCTCCTAAGTTTAAAATAGTTTCAAACTAAATTATCTGCTCCTAATAGCCGTCACTAAACCCGCTCTATGATTGTAAATATGTAGCGTGAACCACAGCTCACCAGACCATGTAGGGGTGGGGTGGTAGGGAGCGCGCTTGCAGCTTGTTTTCTAGCGTCTCCCAGAAAAGAATTATATATATAGATTCGAGAAAGTTTAGGGTAGATCACTCACGGTTTATTTTATTGAATAATTTTATTTGTAATTTAAAACAAGTACATCAACATAATTTACATAATTTCAATGATCTAATGAAATCGAAGTATTTTATAAATATACGTATTTTTAAAATCTTGAAGATGGATTTAGATATGTCTACATAAAATAACAAATGGATATACTGTTTAGACCATTTCAAACAACATTTATATACAATGTGTACACAGGTAGGTAATAAATACTAAGTATATGCTTGTGAAAAGATTCAAAGTCGAGTGAGAAGAGGGTTCTTGGGGGCAAAATCATTGAACTGTGAGGGTTCTGGTTCATTGATTTGTATTTAAACAATGTTTATAGGATGTGTATGGGGTAGGGGTGGGCAGGCGTGACGTAGGCGAAGTGCCCGTGGAATACAACGTCCGTACGTCGTACGTTCTTCTCTGGTTTACCAAAGCCGTGTTGAGTTAAACAATTTAAAATATTACATAGACTACAGCAGGGGTTCCCAAACATTTTTACTCTAGAGCACATTCTAAAATATCGGTAGGGTGGCGGGCACCACTTATTTTAAATCGACAAACTCCTTCCATAACTTGTTATTTTCCTAAAATTTCTTATTTTCTTATTTTCTTATAGTCATAATGTATTAATAAATAATAAACAAAAATGTTTCAAAAAAATAAAATTATTTGGCAATTTTTTTTTTTCAAATTGCATACACACTGAGAAATGTATTTACAAAACGTAAATAGTGCAGTCTGGCTCGCCGCTAGACAAGTTGGGACAAGAATCAAACATATTTAATAAACCTAGGCAGTCAATAAAAAATTAAAACTGTAACACATGAATAAAAATAAATCATATTTTAAAATAATGTTTATGAAAAAAATTCTGTCTCTATCGAATAGTGAGAGGCGGGCACATACGAATCGTTCAGCGGGCGCCATGGCGCCCGCGGGCACAGGGTTGGTTACATTTGAGAGGGAAAACTCGATTCGATACCTGTGGTGGGGTGGGCGGAGTTGTAATAGGAGCAGGGAGAGTGTCATGTGGGAATTATTCTAATTTATATATTATTTAAATATAGTAATTCAACACAGGAGTGGGTTCATAGTGGCAGTAAGGAATGTGGCACTGTATGTGACAGCGGATAGCCTGGGGGGGGGGGGGACTCGTGGATAACATGAATGTGCTAAAAAAAACTCTACTTGATCGTCATTGTGTAATATTCTTAAAGTGTTTGAATAAAAATTAATATTGATGGTTTTGTAAAAACAGTTTCATTTTCCAAACTTACATTTTAATTCACGTAACTTGTTAAAAACAAAATCAAATTAAATGTAAGACAATTCAGAAAATGTTTAATTGTGTCTAAAAACGAAGTGTACAAACTACTTATTACTTTCCTTGAAAGATCACACACAAAAATTAAATCCGTTATTTTTTTTACCATCAATTACTTGCTTTGATAGTTCACACAAAAAATTAAATCCGTTATTTTTTTTTACCATCAATTACTTGCTTTGATAGTTCACACAAAAAAATTAAATCCGTTATTTTTTTTTACCATCAATTACTTGCTTTGATAGTTCACACAAAAAAATTAAATCCGTTATTTTTTTTTACCATCAATTACTTGCTTTGATAGTTCACACAAAAAAATTACTTCCCTTAGACCCATCGGGAAAAATATTTTTTATTAGTTTGTTTCGATTTTTAAAATAAAACTTAATTTATACCCTAAATGTACCGTATACTAATTATTAAGTTTAATGAATGACAGTTTAGAAGCCGTTCCTAAATGTCCTGTAACTTTTATCTTTCCGTTTGCGGATAAGATGGAGTATTAGAGTCGTTCACATCATTGAACCAGGCGCATCCGCAGAGTATGATTTACGCCCCGGGCCACCTGTGAGCGCTATGGTGTATACGTTCGTTTTTTTTTCAAGAGTGCGATAGGCTGTGAATAAAAAAGTTTACTATAGTCGTTTACTAAATCGAATCTAGGGCGTCATCTGGCGCCCCGACAGGGTGCTATTAGGCGCCCCGGGCCTTCCCCCTCATTCAGTTTAATTGGAGAAGTGATATATTTCCTAAACGCGGGCAATGCTTGTTATATGCTACTTAATAAATACACAAGGCACGGTCCTTGAGAGATAGGTTTTTCAGAGGCCAGTGCAGGGCCTGGCCGGGACTGCTAGTGTAATAGTAAATACCGAATAATTGTTTGGTTTAAATGGAAATGATCACCAAGATGAGTCACTGCTTTATGTGTTCTTTTTTTTTTAATCTATATCCTTAGTTCCTTAGTAGACTACTGTCCAAATTATTTTGTTTTAAAACAATCAAACCGACATCCAAGACAGGTATTCGGAGTTTGAGGCCTGTCTGGCTAATGGGAGTCACCTCCTGAGCCGGTGATGTCTGTCAGGAAAGAAAAAAAACATTTGATAATTATCGTTGGCTATTACCGTACAATCCTTATTTTAGTGTATATGTTATTGTCATTTTAATGTTGTAATGTGTGCCTCTGTTAGTAAACTACCATATATATATATATATATATATATATATATATATATATATATATATATATATATATATATATATATATATATATATATATATATGTATTGTTCAGATGGGGCCCTAACCCTATTCCTAAGTCTAACCCTAACCGCAGCCATCAGATTATTGATTGATTTAATCTGATCACTAGAACTGTTTACTATCCATCAGATTATTGATTGGTTTAATCTGATCACTAGAACTGTTTGCTAGCCATCAGATTATTGATTAATTTAATCTGATCACTAGAACTGTTTACTATCCATCAGATTATTGATTGATTTAATCTGATCACTAGAACTGTTTACTAGCCATCAGATTATTGATTGATTTAATCTGATCACTAGAACTGTTTGCTAGCCATCAGATTATTGATTGATTTAATCTCATCACTAGAACTGTTTGCTAGCCATCAGATTATTGATTGATTTAATCTCATCACTAGAACTGTTTGCTAGCCATCAGATTATTGATTGATTTAATCTGATCACTAGAACTGTTTACTATCCATCAGATTATTGATTGATTTAATCTGATCACTAGAACTGTTTGCTAGCCATCAGATTATTGATTGATTTAATCTGATCACTAGAACTGTTTGCTAGCCATCAGATTATTGATTGATTTAATCTGATCAATAGAACTGTTTACTATCCATCAGATTATTGATTGATTTAATCTGATCACTAGAACTGTTTGCTAGCCATCAGATTATTGATTGATTTAATCTGATCACTAGAACTGTTTACTAGCCATCAGATTATTGATTGATTTAATCTGATCACTAGAACTGTTTACTAGCCATCAGATTATTGATTGATTTAATCTGATCACTAGAACTGTTTGCTGCCGATCAGGCCGGCACCTCCTTCAAGGTCAATGTCGTCTGTGTTGATAGCGGCACACCACAGCTAAACACCACAACAGCTGTTATCGTCACCTACAGCCCGGCTACAACACCATCAACAACACCAACAGCCAGTACCACAGCCTCGACAACAACAACTGAGGCCGACATCTGGGACAAGACAGAGTTCAAAGCGTTGTTTGGTTCCCTCATTGGACTGGCTGGTAGAGTTTTATAATTTGGTTCCCTGATTGGACTGGCTGGTAGAGTTTTATCATTTGGTTCCCTCATTGGACTGGCTGGTAGAGTTTTATCATTTGGTTCCCTCATTGGACTGGCTGGTAGTTTTATCATTTGGTTCCCTCATTGGACTGGCTGGTAGAGTTTTATCATTTGGTTCCCTCATTGGACTGGCTGGTAGAGTTTTATAATTTGGTTCCCTCATTGGACTGGCTGGTAGAGTTTTATAATTTGGTTCCCTCATTGGACTGGCTGGTAGAGTTTTATCATTTGGTTCCCTCATTGGACTGGCTGGTAGAGTTTTATAATTTGGTTCCCTCATTGGACTGGCTGGTAGAGTTTTATCATTTGGTTCCCTCATTGGACTGGCTGGTAGAGTTTTATCATTTGGTTCCCTGATTGGACTGGCTGGTAGAGTTTTATCATTTAATTCCCTCATTGGACTGGCTGGTAGAGTTTTATAATTTGGTTCCCTCATTGGACTGGCTGGTAGTGTTTTATAATGAGAGTTGAAGTTTAATTCTAGGATTAGGGATAGAGTTTAATGCTAAGGTTAGAATTATTTTAAGGCTAGGGTGGGAAGTACATCAGTCAATGTGAAGTCATATGTCACATGATGGTGACATATTCATGTGACGTTTGATGTCCCATGACTTAGTTCCATCCACTAATGTGATAACTGATGTCAATGTGTATGTCCTGCAGGCCTTCTGTTTGTGGTAGGACTAGCAGCATTGGTGGCGTACTGCTGCAGCAAGTATCGGTACGTTTTGATTTCAAATGATGTGCTGGTGTTTCTCTCTGACCAATTGCTCTGTGTTTGTACATGCAGCTCATGGTTGTGTTTAAAGTCTATGTTTTTCGTTGATTGTTTTAACATTTTAGTTCTATTGGCTGTTATGGTTGTGTTTAAAGTCTATGTTTTTCGTTGATTGTTTTAACATTTTAGTTCTATTGGCTGTTATGGTTGTGTTTAAAGTCTATGTTTTTAGTTGATTGTTTTAACATTTTAGTTCTATTGGCTGTTATGGTTGTGTTTAAAGTCTATGTTTTTCGTTGATTGTTTTAACATTTTAGTTCTATTGGCTGTTATGGTTGTGTGTGTACTTGAAATTTTGTTTTTTTTGTGTATATTTTTTTGTTGGTTTTGAGTTGGAAAACTGTGTTCGTTTTCTTCTTTCGTATTATAAAAAATAACTAGAATTTCAAACTAAAAATAGCCATTCAACTTCATTTCATGGTGAAATCAAACCAACAACGCAGTAAAGTATGAATTAAAAATTTACCATGAAATGCTGTCGTAAAATTCATACATCTTTTTCTGGTCAGCAAACGCTACATATATTATTATTTACATATAGTAATACATTTAGATTTTCACAAAATGTCGACATTTTTCACCTACCCGAGTTGGAAAAAAACCTAGTTTTACAATTATGTCTGTTTGTATATGTGTGTGTGGTGTGTGTGCGTGTGTGTGTGTGTGCGCGCGCGCGTGCGAGTGTGTATGCGTGGTGACAGAAAAAATGATCTCAAGACAAATGATCTCAGACAAAATATCTCAGACAAAAATATCTCACGTACAAATTATCTCACGTACAGATTATCTCAGGACAAATGATCTCACGGACAAAAGATACCTGAACAAAATATATCAGGAAAAATGATCTCAGGACAATCGATCTCTGACAAAATATCTCACAGCAAAATTTTAATAGTGTATTTGATTATTTTAGTTGATCTGAACATTTTTTGAATTGACTGTCATATGGTTTTGTTTACTATGTTTATTATTGTTTATATGCCTATATAATAATTGTGAGAAATGTTTGCCGTATATATCTGTCATATTGAACTAAACATTTTAAAATTAAGATTGCTAATATAGTATGCGAATATTAAAGAATTTTATTTCGATAGATAGTGTAGGTGGTCTTGACAAACATGAGACAATCCTACTACGTCAGGTGGACGAAACTAGATCAAATGGAATGAAATAACAATAAAGATAAACCTTCGTATCAAGATGGCCGCCAGCTTTGATGGCAGAGACATGCCTTAAGGGAAAGACATCCGCCCTCCATGGACAATACAACTAGCATCTACAGCCAATAGTTATGCGTCGGTCACACCTTGGTGATCAGGTGACAAATGCTTATTTAAACGACAGCGGTCATCGCGGAGCTAAGTTTGTCGTAGTGTGCATGCAAACAAAGCAGTATTGGTACCGATTATTCAGCTATGGCCTCATTCGTTACCTCGCAGAAAGGTTTTAGGACATTAGTTTCTCGTGAATTTATGTTTATTAAAGCCAGAAGTGGAGCAGCAGGCAAAGAGATTTAGAAATGTGAAGTTAGAACATGTCGAGCAAGAGTTCACACCATACATAATCACATAGTATTGGAGAGGCGTGATCATAACGATGTACCTGCCAGCAGAGAAAAGTAAACGTTATGTTTGGGTTTATGATGCAATAAAACCATAGTTTCACGTTACGAACCTGAAGACAGAGGCGTAGCGAAGGGGGGGGGGGGGGGCGGGGGGTGCGGACCGCACCGGGTGACACCTTTTAGGGGGGTGACACCAACGCAAAAAATAGCAAAATATATAGAGAAAAACTCGAGTGGGGGGTGCAAATCAAAAGTTTGAGGGGGGGGGGGGTGCAAATCGAAAATTTGAAAGTTTGTCCCTGGGAAGGGTCTCTATGCCTCTGGGGGGGGGGGGGGGGGGGGGTGACACCATTAAGTGCCGCACCGGGTGACACCCGACCTCGCTACGCCACTGGCCTGAAGACCCATTCATATTTTTGTAAAATGTTTCGCGTGTTTTGAATATTTATGTTACTTTATTTGTTTTATACATTATCATTTATTATACGTTTGTTTTAATTTTTACTTTTTCAAATCAAATGCTATCACAAAGATTGAGTTACATAAATCTTTTGATGTTTTGTTAAGTTTAACAAATTCATTTTATTCACAATTATTATGCGTAAAAAAGTAAAAAACCATATTGACAGTCAATAAAAAAAAAGCTCAAATCAATTAAAATCGTCGTAAATAGTATTAAAATTTTGTGTGAGATATTTTGTCTGATATTTTGTCTGGCATCATTTGTCCATGATATCGTTTGTTCTGATATATTTTGTCCTGATATCTTTTGTCCGTGAGACCATTTGTCCTTGAGATCATTTGTCCTGAGATCATTTGTCCTGAGATCATTTTTCATGGAACCGTATGCGTTATTGCTGTGTGTGCGTGCGCAGTTTGGTCAACGAAATGTTATTTTAAGTATTATATAAAAGTTATACTTCTCTCTCTCTCTCTCTCTCTATATATATATATATATATATATATATATATATATATATATATATATATATATATATATATATATATATATATATATATATACATATATACATATATATATATATATATATATATATATATATATATATATATATATATATATATATATATATATATATATATATATATATATATATATATATATACGAATGTATATCATGAATGTAGATTTCTGTTAAGGTCTGAGTTAACTCAGTGAAAAGAAAAGTATTTATTGTATTATAGTGAACATAAAAACTTTAATACCCTTTCAGTCAAGTGGGGAAAATATATAAATTTATTAGGTACTGTACGTAGATTTCAATTTACTTATGGATGATTTCCGGTACTTGGAAATCATGTTACTTAGTTTTAACTTTCAAAAACCTTCAGAATTTAATAATTTTATATCATAATCTCATGAATCAAATTGACCATAAGCATTATTTAAAAATTCGAACACATTTTCTTTTCTTCCACAGTCCCAAAATAAAGACACCACCCAAAAAAGTAGAGCCGTACAGGTTAGTAAATCATCTTTATTTATGATTTTCTCTGGCTAGTAAATCATCTTTATTTATGATTTTCTCTGGCTAGTAATTCATCTTTATTTATGATTTTCTCTGGCAAGTAAACCATCTTTATTTATAATTTTCTCTGGTTAGTAAAAAAAAACTATTTATGATTTTCTCTGGATAGTATTATCATCTTTATTTATGATTTTCTCGGGATAGCATTATCATCTTTATTTATAATTTTCTCTGGTTAGTAAAAAAAACTATTTATGATTTTCTCTGGATAGTATTATCATCTTTATTTATGATTTTCTCTTCTAATGCAGCTTCAAATCTGCCTCCCTTATTTAAAAAAATTAAGAGTTCACTTCACCTTTTGTATATTTTATTTGATCTTTTAACGTCTGTTAGATTTGGTCTGTTAGATTTGGTCTGTTAGATCTGGTCTGTTAGATCTGGTCTGTTAGATATGGTCTGTTAGATCTAGTCTGTTAGATCTGGTCTGTTAAAGTCTGTTAGATCTGGTCTGTTAGATCTGGTCTGTTAGATCTGGTCTGTTAGATCTGGTCTGTTAGATCTAGTCTGTTAGATCTGGTCTGTTAGATCTGGTCTGTTAAAGTCTGTTAGATCTGGTCTGTTAGATCTGGTCTGTTAGATCTGGTCTGTTAGATCTAGTCTGTTAGATCTGGTCTGTTAGATCTGGTCTGTTAAAGTCTGTTAGATCTGGTCTGTTAGATCTGGTCTGTTAGATCTGGTCTGTTAGATCTGGTCTGTTAAATTCTGTTAGATCTGGTCTGTTAGATCTGGTCTGTTAGATCTGGTCTGTTAGATCTGGTCTGTTAAAGTCTGTTAGATCTGGTCTGTTAATTCTGGTCTGTTAAAGTCTGTTAGATCTGGTCTGTTAGATCTGGTCTGTTAGATCTGGTCTGTTAGATCTGGTCTGTTAGATTTTGTCTGTTAGATCTGGTCAGTTAAAGTCTGTTAAATCTGGTCTGTTAGATCTGGTCTGTTAGATCTGGTCTGTTAGATCTAGTCTGTTAGATCTGGTCTGTTAGATCTGGTCTGTTAGATCTGGTCTGTTAGATCTGGTCTGTTAGATCTGGTCTGTTAGATCTGGTCTGTTAGATCTGGTCTGTTAGATCTGGTCTGTTAGATCTGGTCTGTTAGATCTGGTCTGTTAAAGTCTGTTAGATCTGGTCTGTTAGATCTGGTCTGTTAAAGTCTGTTAGATCTGGTCTGTTAGATCTGGTCTGTTAAAGTCTGTTAGATCTGGTCTGTTAGATCTGGTCTGTTAGATCTGGTCTGTTAGATCTGGTCTGTTAGATCTGGTCTGTTAGATCTGGTCTGTTAGATCTGGTCTGTTAGATCTGGTCTGTTAGATCTGGTCTGTTAGATCTGGTCTGTTAAAGTCTGTTAGATCTGGTCTGTTAGATCTGGTCTGTTAAAGTCTGTTAGATCTGGTCTGTTAGATCTGGTCTGTTAAAGTCTGTTAGATCTGGTCTGTTAGATCTGGTCTGTTAGATCTGGTCTGTTAGATCTGGTCTGTTAGATCTGGTCTGTTAGATCTGGTCTGTTAAAGTCTGTTAGATCTGGTCTGTTAGATCTGGTCTGTTAGATCTGGTCTGTTAAAGTCTGTTAGATCTGGTCTGTTAGATCTGGTCTGTTAGATCTGGTCTGTTAAAGTCTGTTAGATCTGGTCTGTTAGATCTGGTCTGTTAGATCTGGTCTGTTAGATCTGGTCTGTTAGATCTGGTCTGTTAGATCTGGTCTGTTAAAGTCTGTTAGATCTGGTCTGTTAGATCTGGTCTGTTAGATCTGGTCTGTTAGATCTGGTCTGTTAGATCTAGTCTGTTAGATCTGGTCTGTTAGATCTGGTCTGTTAAAGTCTGTTAGATCTGGTCTGTTAGATCTGGTCTGTTAGATCTGGTCTGTTAGATCTAGTCTGTTAGATCTGGTCTGTTAGATCTGGTCTGTTAAAGTCTGTTAGATCTGGTCTGTTAGATCTGGTCTGTTAGATCTGGTCTGTTAGATCTGGTCTGTTAAATTCTGTTAGATCTGGTCTGTTAGATCTGGTCTGTTAGATCTGGTCTGTTAGATCTGGTCTGTTAAAGTCTGTTAGATCTGGTCTGTTAATTCTGGTCTGTTAAAGTCTGTTAGATCTGGTCTGTTAGATCTGGTCTGTTAGATCTGGTCTGTTAGATCTGGTCTGTTAGATTTTGTCTGTTAGATCTGGTCAGTTAAAGTCTGTTAAATCTGGTCTGTTAGATCTGGTCTGTTAGATCTGGTCTGTTAGATCTAGTCTGTTAGATCTGGTCTGTTAGATCTGGTCTGTTAGATCTGGTCTGTTAGATCTGGTCTGTTAGATCTGGTCTGTTAGATCTGGTCTGTTAGATCTGGTCTGTTAGATCTGGTCTGTTAGATCTGGTCTGTTAGATCTGGTCTGTTAAAGTCTGTTAGATCTGGTCTGTTAGATCTGGTCTGTTAAAGTCTGTTAGATCTGGTCTGTTAGATCTGGTCTGTTAAAGTCTGTTAGATCTGGTCTGTTAGATCTGGTCTGTTAGATCTGGTCTGTTAGATAAAGTCTGTTAGATCTGGTCTGTTAGATCTGGTCTGTTAAAGTCTGTTAGATCTGGTCTGTTAGATCTGGTCTGTTAGATCTGGTCTGTTAGATCTGGTCTGTTAGATCTGGTCTGTTAGATCTGGTCTGTTAGATCTGGTCTGTTAGATCTGGTCTGTTAGATCTGGTCTGTTAGATCTGGTCTGTTAGATCTGGTCTGTTAGATCTGGTCTGTTAAAGTCTGTTAGATCTGGTCTGTTAGATCTGGTCTGTTAAAGTCTGTTAGATCTGGTCTGTTAGATCTGGTCTGTTAAAGTCTGTTAGATCTGGTCTGTTAGATCTGGTCTGTTAGATCTGGTCTGTTAGATCTGGTCTGTTAGATCTGGTCTGTTAGATCTGGTCTGTTAGATCTGGTCTGTTAGATCTGGTCTGTTAGATCTGGTCTGTTAGATCTGGTCTGTTAGATCTGGTCTGTTAAAGTCTGTTAGATCTGGTCTGTTAGATCTGGTCTGTTAAAGTCTGTTAGATCTGGTCTGTTAGATCTGGTCTGTTAAAGTCTGTTAGATCTGGTCTGTTAGATCTGGTCTGTTAGATCTGGTCTGTTAGATCTGGTCTGTTAGATCTGGTCTGTTAGATCTGGTCTGTTAGATCTGGTCTGTTAAAGTCTGTTAGATCTGGTCTGTTAGATCTGGTCTGTTAGATCTGGTCTGTTAAAGTCTGTTAGATCTGGTCTGTTAGATCTGGTCTGTTAGATCTGGTCTGTTAAAGTCTGTTAGATCTGGTCTGTTAGATCTGGTCTGTTAGATCTGGTCTGTTAGATCTGGTCTGTTAGATCTGGTCTGTTAGATCTGGTCTGTTAGATCTGGTCTGTTAAAGTCTGTTAGATCTGGTCTGTTAGATCTGGTCTGTTAGATCTGGTCTGTTAGATCTGGTCTGTTAGATCTGGTCTGTTAGATCTGGTCTGTTAGATCTGGTCTGTTAGATCTGGTCTGTTAGATCTGGTCTGTTAAAGTCTGTTAGATCTGGTCTGTTAGATCTGGTCTGTTAAAGTCTGTTAGATCTGGTCTGTTAGATCTGGTCTGTTAAAGTCTGTTAGATCTGGTCTGTTAGATCTGGTCTGTTAGATCTGGTCTGTTAGATCTGGTCTGTTAGATCTGGTCTGTTAGATCTGCTCTGTTAGATCTGGTCTGTTAAAGTCTGTTAGATCTGGTCTGTTAGATCTGGTCTGTTAGATCTGGTCTGTTAAAGTCTGTTAGATCTGGTCTGTTAGATCTGGTCTGTTAAATCTGGTCTGTTAAAGTCTGTTAGATCTGGTCTGTTAGATCTGGTCTGTTAGATCTGGTCTGTTAGATCTGGTCTGTTAGATCTGGTCTGTTAGATCTGGTCTGTTAGATCTGGTCTGTTAAAGTCTGTTAGATCTGGTCTGTTAGATCTGGTCTGTTAGATCTGGTCTGTTAAAGTCTGTTAGATCTGGTCTGTTAGATCTGGTCTGTTAAATCTGGTCTGTTAAAGTCTGTTAGATCTGGTCTGTTAGATCTGGTCTGTTAGATCTGGTCTGTTAAATCTGGTCTGTTAAAGTCTGTTAGATCTGGTCTGTTAGATCTGGTCTGTTAGATCTGGTCTGTTAGATCTGGTCTGTTAGATCTGGTCTGTTAGATCTGGTCTGTTAGATCTGGTCTGTTAAATCTGGTCTGTTAAAGTCTGTTAGATCTGGTCTGTTAGATCTGGTCTGTTAGATCTGGTCTGTTAGATCTAGTCTGTTAGATCTGGTCTGTTAGATCTGGTCTGTTAAAGTCTGTTAGATCTGGTCTGTTAGATCTGGTCTGTTAGATCTGGTCTGTTAGATCTGGTCTGTTAGATCTGGTCTGTTAAAGTCTGTTAGATCTGGTCAGTTAAAGTCTGTTAGATCTGGTCTGTTAGATCTGGTCTGTTAGATCTGGTCTGTTAGATCTGGTCTGATAGATCTGGTCTGTTAGATCTGGTCTGTTAAAGTCTGTTAGATCTGGTCTGTTAGATCTGGTCTGTTAGATCTGGTCTGTTAGATCTGGTCTGATAGATCTGGTCTGTTAGATCTGGTCTGTTAGATCTGGTCTGATAGATCTGGTCTGTTAGATCTGGTCTGTTAAAGTCTGTTAGATCTGGTCTGTTAGATCTGGTCTGTTAGATCTGGTCTGTTAGATCTGGTCAGTTAAAGTGTGTTAGATCTGGTCTGTTAGATCTGGTCTGTTAGATCTGGTCTGTTAGATCTGGTCTGTTAAAGTCTGTTAGATCTGGTCTGTTAGATCTGGTCTGTTAGATCTGGTCTGTTAGATCAGGTCTGTTAGATTTGATGTGTAATTTAGTTCAAAGGGTTTTGTTTGTTTTTTCATTTTTTGTAATGCTACACTTTTTACTGGTTGTTACTATTTTTCAGAAATTCAACGGATCAATTGGAACAAATTAGGTAGGCTTGTTTCTTCTTTTAAGAATATCTTTCTATAATTCTTTTCGATATTTTAAAAATCTTTTCTTGTGTCACTGAAGCTGTTGATACATTTGAGCAACAAATCTGACTTTCTCACAGACCAGAACAAAGGACTGTACCCTCCCCGCCGCTAGATCACAGTTGGACTCCCCAGGCCTGGCCATTAAGTAGGTCAATTCTATTTTAGTTTTTGTCGTTTTTTTTTTTACTCTGAAGCAGAAAAGTATGTAAAGAAGATTTCCGGTGAAGCAATAGAGATAGATGCGAGCCAGTCTTCTCATTCTGTTTGATGCTAGAAATAATTTCCTCTTATTTACAGGCAACACAAGACCCATACCAGAGGGAACGCATTACTTCCACTACCACTAACGATGAAAATGTTGGAGTTTTTTAATTTTATTTTTTATCAACTTGAAAATATCTTTTTTTTTTAAATCTATTGCTTAAAACATTAGACAACTCTTGTTTTATCTATTGGAAAATGTCTTTTTTTTTAAATCTATAACTTAAAACATTAGACAACTCTTCATAAATTAACCCCTATAAAACATCAGGTAGATAGACCACACAACATACTCCACATTAACCTGATAGGGTGAACTTGAAATATTGCACAGGTCCAAAGACCAAACTAGTCTGATTACACAAAGTTACAATGCTGAACGTTTTGTAAGGGATGTATTTTATTCGCGCACACAAACAACACATGTAAACACATTAATTAGAGACAACATACTCAAGATAACATTTTCAAGAACAAAAACACACATGTAGACAAACTAAAAAGAATTGAAACAACCATTGGCAAACCAGCAATAATAACTAAATGTATATTTCAAATGTATTGACAAAAAAACGACAACACAAATAAGTAGGTAAAATGTAAGTAAAAGATATTATGATTGTTAAACATTTATTTTATCACAACTAAAGATCGAAGGTTGAACAATGCAAACAAAAAATTCTGTCCTCGACCATTGAAAGGAAAGCATTAAAAAAAAGCAACTAAAATCTTTTGGCTTTGAGTGTTGATCACACATTTTGATAAAAATTTAAAAAAAAAAAACTTTTCCAACAAACAAATATTTTAAAACTCTGAGGAAATAAATGTGTAAATCATAAAAATGAAAAGCTTTTAATTAATTGCATTGAAAATATATGTTTTAATTGTTTAAAAATCTATGCATGTACATAAAATGCAAATGTCCAGTTTAATATTAGTTAAACCTGAAATTTAAAACTGTTAATTACTTCTAAAACTTTGAGCAGAGAAATCCCAAACGATTATAAAAAGATATTAAACATTTTTTATTGAGCCTGACAATTGTTGGCGTTAGCTGAAATGTATTTTGAATGATTGGTAAAAAGTCTCGAGTTCTGTAAGACACCCTGATTTCACTCAGCCCCGCCCGTACTATATCTCATATGCCAAAAATACAGAAATAGATAGACTCTACTTTATCTGCTTTATCAACCACCAGGTCCAAAACTTAACGTAAAATAACCAATAGAAAGGTTAGGTTAGGCTTGCCTCTTGCCCCCCCCCCCCCCTCCTGGAACATAGGCCACTAGAAATAAAACTGTTATTTCATTCTACTGGGCAAGGGGGTCGTCCATAAATGACGTCACACTCGTAGGGGGAGGGGGGGGGGGGGGGGTTCCGTAATTTTGTGACGGTGTGTGTGATGAGGAGGAGGGTGGGAGGGGGGGGGGGGGGTTTAGATGGTGCGACGTCACAATTTTTGCATTATAAAAAAACAATGTTAGAAAAAGAATTTTAGACTTTATTTCGCGTTTTAGAAACCTGTTTTAATAAATTGTAATAGGAATTCATAAAAATACTATATTTTGACAAAGTTTAGACAAGATTTTGGAAAAAATATCGATGTTTAAAAAAAAAATTCAACTGCAATTTTGAGGGGGTTGTAGGCTGAGGTGAGACGTCGTGTTAGGGGGGGGGTCTGGCTTTTTGTGATGATGTGTGACGGAGTGGAGAGGGAAGGTAAAATTCGTCAAAAAAACGTGACGTCATTTATAGATGACCCCCAATGCTGTATATTTTAGACTCGATATCTTGTAACTGGATTAATTTGAAACAAATGTACGAAAATCAACGATCGTGAACGATTTGTTTTAAGCTCATCTTAATGATTTCAACAAAATTAGTAAATATTGATTAGGGATAGATTTTGAAATAGATTTAAGTTAGCTATAGGGATTGGAATCGTTTTCACTTTATTTTATACCGAGTATAGAGGAAGTATTGTAATCGTGCAAACATTCGAAATTGAGATTTTTACAAATATTGACGTTTTAGACCTCCCTGAGTCGAGGAAACTTAATTTTTAAATCTTGTCTGTATGTGTGTGTGTGTGTGTGCGTGCACGTGTGTGTGTGTGTGTGAGAGAGAGAGAGAGAGAGGGAACACGATAACTTGAGTACCGTTACAGATGGATTGATCAAATTTCTTATATAAGCATTACACAGAATTTGTAGTTGTGTGTCGGCTTTTCAGCGATTCCCGGTAACCGGAAGTGGAATTTATTCTACCTTTGTTTTTTTCAAAAGCCTATAACATGATTTCTGTTTTAGATAGATAGACGAAATTTCACATATTAGTAATTGATTTCTCTGCCTTGTTTCAAATTTTAAGAAATTACCGGTTACCGATATCGTCGCACATCCGTATAATGAAGTGCTTGGGTCAAACAATCTGTGTCAGATATGTGAAATGTACTGATATTACCCAGGGTAATATTTTTGGTGTTTTAAAATATATTTAAAAATAAACATGGAAATTCCCTTTAGAAGCTCATATGCCCTTTCGGGTGCAGGGGGGGGGGGTCAGAATCAGGGTTCGAATATATTACTGCTGTAGTTTAAAATATATATACTTATTTATTTAAATATTTTCTTTGGTTCAGGTGTGCTAAATGGGATTATATTAGATCGAGTGTTGCTTCGTGGTTGGTATGTGGGAATGGGGAAAGGTGTGTATTTTGTGGGATGAGAGACAGGTTGTGAGTCGTTGGGTTTTTTGGGTGGTATGTAGGTTTCGATATGGGGTATAGTGGGGAGGGCGTCTCATGGGGGATAGTGGGGAGGGCGTCTTATGGGGGATAGTGGGGAGGGCGTCTTATGGGGGATAGTGGGGATAGTGGGGAGGGCGTCTTATGGGGGTGTTGTGGGGTTTGGTCAGTGTGTAGTGCTGTGTGTGATACGGAGAGTGGTGTATGATACGGAGAGTGGTGTATGATACGGAGAGTGGTGTGTGATACGGAGAGTGATGTGTGATACTGAGAGTGGTGTATGATACGGAGAGTGGTGTGTGATACGGAGAGTGGTGTGTGATACTGAGAGTGGTGTATGATACGGAGAGTGGTGTATGATACGGAGAGTGGTGTGTGATACGGAGAGTGATGTGTGATACTGAGAGTGGTGTATGATACGGAGAGTGGTGTGTGATACGGAGAGTGGTGTGTGATACGGAGAGTGGTGTATGATACGGAGAGTGGTGTGTGATACGGAGAGTGGTGTGTGATACGGAGAGTTGTATGAAATGAGTAATTGAGTTTGGATTGTGGAGTTAGTGGGATGAGGCGTAGGTTTCAATTTGTGGGTTTATGGGTTTTAATATTCGGGACAGTGTGGGACGTCACATTGGTCATGGGGCGGGGTGGGGATGGAGTGTAAAACGAGGAGTGTAGGGATTTCATTTGGGTTGCGGTACGGTACGGTGTAGTGTATCCGCTTCAGGTGTTCTTTTATCTACATTCGTGTCAATTACAACAACGACAAAGAAATAGTCATTTATCATTTCGCAAAGGCAGTAATTATTAAAAATGAATTTTTTAAAAATAACAAAAAAAAAACGTTTGCTTTGTGTATATATATATATATATATATACATATATATATATATATACATATATATATATATATATATATATATATATATATATATATATATATATATATATATATATATATGTATAAACAAATGCACTAAAAGAAGGCTGAAAGTTCAAAAACCATACATATATTTGTCTGCATCAGATATGATTTTGTCGGTTCAATGTAAATGTAGTCCACAAAAAATATTTGAATTGGTGTGGCCTCACTATCACGTGCCAGATCTAGTCACTACGATGATTGAATGCTTGAGGATTAGATACCCAGCATTCAGTCAGGGGTGAAGGGTCAAGTAGTCTCCAGACAAAAGTAGCAAAATCTTGTTGGCCCACTTCCCATCCACACGTGTTAGAGTTAGGGTTGATAATGACAACCGATATTTACAATAACAAATAACGTTTACAATGTTAACTGATGTTCATAAAGTATGCCAGGTAATAGACAAAGCTTTCACCGTGTGCACTAAAAAATTATTTTAAGATTCGTAATTTTTTTTTTTTTAAAGACACTCTTTGATTGCTTTTTCTATTTTTTTCTGTTGGTGTTGTTTTGTGTCTGAGTGTGTGTATTAAAACAGAATGTATTTTTAAATAAACCGGGAGTGATCTCCCCTAAACTTACTCGAATATTCTTATATGAAATAACAGGCGATGGCAACTCGGGATATAGACATGATTTTTAATCCATTTTAAATACTTAAACTTTTTAAAATAGAATAAAATCTCGTCGAAAAAAGAATTGCACACCAAGTGAACGCCAAATAAAATGTGCATAGTAGTGTTTGATTTTTTTAGTACTTAATAAATTTATATGCGTTCTTTGAGAAATCGGAAATAGCAAAAATTGCTACTTTCGGTCAACGGAAATTACTCAAAATTTGACAGAAGGCAGAGAATTAGATGTTTTACTTACATGTCAGATTTCATTTATCTATCTGAAATAGTACTCAAGTTATAGGCTTTTGAAAAATTGAAAGTAGAAAAAGCTCCACTTCTTTTATCGGAAATCGCTCAAAAGTTGATACGGATCTACGATTTCGATGTAATACTTATTTATGAAATTTCATCAACCTAGCTGTAACGGTACTCAAGTTATCGTGTTTACATACGCACACGCACACACACAGAGACACACACACAGACACACACACACATACACACACAGAGACATACGGACAAGATTGCAAAATTATGTTTTTCAGTCTCAGGGAGCTGTAAAACGTCGAGCTTTGCAAAAATCTTGATTTTTTTTTTGCACGATTACAAGACTTCCTCTATACATCGTATAAACGTGAAAGTAAAAAAATCACATGACAATGAGTTTTTTTATTTAAGGCGCCCCCCCCCCCCCCCTAAAAATCAAGGGCCCCGTCTGCTGCCTGCTCAGCTTCTCGCTTAGTCCGCCACTGCCGTAAAACACAATATCGTTGTAATAAAAGTGGGTTGAAAATTCGTTTCAAGAATCGCCACAAACAGAAAGAACAACAGATTGACACACAAGCATTGTAACTTAAACTACTGCATCTACAAAGCGTATTAAAACGGTCTCAACTCCCCCCCCCCCCAATCTCATACCCTTCTGAGGTCAAGTCAATATTAAAAGTTCGGTGTCACAACGTTCGTGAAGAGTTGTGTAACATTGACAAGTGCTAGGTCGTTTATTGACATTCGTTTCCACTTGTATCCGCTTGTAGTGGTCATAGGAGAATGAAAGTGAAATATTCGTGGTTCTAGTCCTACAAGCTGGCTTGCTGTTGGTAGAAGTTTATTTGTAATTGCTAGCTTGGTAACCCTTACCCAAGGTTGGGTTAATTATATTTTGTCAATTATTTTGTTAATGAAATTTATATTGTTTAAACTGTTTTTAAAAAACCAAGCGGTGGAAGTTCTGGGGAAAGGACAGCTTAAATCTGGTTAAACGTCAAAAAACCTTTCGTAGTTGTGCAAGAAATATAATGTACAAACTCTGCAAATAGCAAAGGTTTCCATTCTACGTCGCGACATTGAATCTATAAATAGACGTCTAGGCTGTTTGACCTTTTCCCCTTCCTGAATACATTGAAACCAAAGCAACCATTCAGATAAGCATAACCGTGTGTTTATAGATTTTATGGGTTAGGCATGGGCTATTAGGTGTAAGGGGCTAGGTCTAGGGGCTAGAGGTTAGAAGATACGTATTGTGTAAGTGGTTAGGGGTAAGGGGGTAAGATATTAGCAGTTACGGGTTAGTGTTAGGGGTTAGAGTTAGGCAGAGCGTAGCGGGGGGGGGGAGGGGCGTCAGGACAGCACTGGATGACACCATTGGGGGGGGGTGACACAAGACGAAAAAAGCAATATAAAAAATATTCCAGTTAAATACATGATTAATTAAAAAGTCTTTTATTTAAGAGAAACATTGACTAATCCCGACAAGTGGGGGGGGGGGGGGGGGGGGGAGTGACACCATGTAACCATGACGTAAACCTGCTAACGATATAGAAAACAACACTACACCCAGCTGTATTTATAACCGACTATACATGAAAATCATTAGTTCTATATGTGGATATCTTTAGTATTATCTGTTGACATCGTTAGTATTATCTGTGCAAATTTTTAATCTATCACCGGTACAGAGGGGGGGGGGGGGGTGACACCAACTAAACGTTGCAAAATTTGCCTGCGGATAAAATGTTTTCTTGAGAATTGTAATAATTGACACGTCAAGCACCGTCTATGGTGGGGTTGGGGGTGACACAAAATTTAATAATTTAATACAAATGCAATGTGCACCATTAGGTGCATCACCGGGTGACATCCGACCGACCGACGCCACTGGGGTTAGGTATTATGAGTAAGAGGTTAGGGGTTAGGGGTAGCGGGAAAGTCGTTAGGTATTTGGAGTTTAGGTTTAAGAGGCTTGGGATTGTGGGTTAGGGGTAAGCAAGAAGGGATTAGGGATAATGGATAAGGAGTTAAGGTTAGGTGTTTACGGTTAGGAGTTAAGAATTAAGGATTATGAGTTAGGGGTTAAGAATTAGGGTGAAGGGTAGAACGTTAAAATAAACGAAATAAGTATCTTTTGTATCTACTGGTTGTGTAGGCCTTTCAATATTTACTTCTGACATTTTTTTATGATGAATATATATATATATATATATATATATATATATATATATATATATATATATATATATATATATGTATATATATATATATATATATATATATATATATATATATATATATATATATATATATATATATATATATATATATTGGAACTCTTTTGTTTTTGCCCACACAAGCTTTAACGCCATGTTTGCCAAATAAGGAAATCAGTCAACAAATAGGGAAATGGTAGGGTTACTGGTGCATTTTATGTTCAATCCTACAAGAGAAATTCTCACCAAAATGTCTACTGCTGATATATATATATATATATATATATATATATATATATATATATATATATATATATATATATATATATATATATATATATATATATATATATATATATAATATATATATATATATATATATATATATATATATATATATATATATATATATATATATATATATATATATATATATATATATATATATATATATATATATATATATATATATATATATATATATGTACATATTATATATATATATATATATATTAGCCTAAACACGTAGTAGGTATAGGTATAGGTGTGAGTGTGTCTGTGGGTGGGGTGTGTGTCGGGGTGCTGGTGTGAGTTTTCATTTGGGTATGAGTATTGAGTTTCACGTTTTTACATTTTTACGTTTATGTTTTCCGTTATTTTTTTTTTTAATTGGTGAAGTTGTAATATCAAGTTTCCATTGTGGTGTCGTAAATATCACGTTTTCATTGTGGTGTTGTAATTATCACGTTTTCATTGTGGTGTTGTAATTATCAAGTTTACGTCGTTTTCTCAACATCCTTGAATTGTCGACCTAAACATTAAAGTGTTACAAGTATTACTAGTTATTGTTTGAAATGGTATTATTGTTTCAATTTTACTTTACTTTAATTACTAGAGGTTGCTTGCTGGCTATGTAAAATGCACTTCTTTAATATAGCAGTCATAGTTTTGTGTACGCATTAGCTGGGTTAGTAGAAGGATATAAATAGTCTTAACCTGGTTTAATCCACAAGGGTTGGGAGATTTGAATGCAGCCACGGGCACACACACACACACGAGTGGGCAATCCCACACCTACAGACGCCTCTATATAAACAAATACAGCTGCATTCTTCACTTTCGTAACATTCTAGCCTAGCAGGTGACGGATGAAGGCTTGATGCAACCAACTTGTAGAGGGTAAGTTTTATTTTACTGTAAACTTTTCTTCAATGTTTAACATATCGACTGGTGAATCTCTCCAATTTCATCACTTGAAAAAGTAATTCAAGATTGAATAAAAACCTAGTGAATTACTATAAACAAACGTTTAATGAACAGAGACTGCATACTGCATAGTTTTTTAGCTTATTTCAAGGCAATTAAGTGGACTGTTCAAAATTGGGTATTTATAATAAATAAATACATTTCTAACTAAATAAATGTAAAGGCAAACGGGACAGACCCACTAGGGGTAAAAAGTGAGCGCTAAAATAATTTTGTATTAATTTCTTTCTTAAATTTCCTTTTTTTAAACCACGGTGGAGGCCGAGTTCCCTACACTCAGACATCTGCTGCTGTAGAAACATGTAGGCCACCTACATGACCATGCTTCTCTGTAGAGTCGATTAGGGTCTCAAAATTCATTGTAAATAAAACGGGAGTGATCTCCCCTAAACTATCTCGTGATCTCCATACCACAGTTTGGGGGGGGGGGGGGCACATCCTGTAAAATCTGTCTCAAGAAATGTAGAAGTTTGTGACCTAACCGCTCGTTTTTTAACAATACACAAAAATGTAAAAATCTATATAAGAATCTCTATTTAAGAATACACATAAAGGCAGAAGCGTAGCAACCCTTCCCGGCGCCCGTGGACAAACATATCGACTTGCACCCCCCCCCCTCTCAAAATTTCGATTTGCACCACCCCCCCCCCCCCTTAAACTTTCGATTTTGCACCCCCCTCAACCTTTCAATTTATTTTTCTAACCCATTTTGGCGCCCCCTAAGGTCGGCGCCCGGGGACATATGTCCCGTCCCCCGCCCCGTCCCCCCCCCCCCTCTCGCTACGCTACTGCATAAAAGTAATAATCTATATGAGAATCTCTATTTAAGAACACACATAAAGGTAATAATCTATATGAGAATCTTTATTTAAGATTACACATATAGGTAACAATCAGTGGCGTAGCGGGGGGGGGGGGCGCACCGGGTGACACAATTTAGGGGGATAACACCAAGGCAAAAAATAGCATAATATATAGAGAAAAAAATAATTCCACTTAAGTGATTAATTCGAGATTTAAATAGTCTTTTAAGAGCAAATTTGACAAATCCCGACAACGGTGGAGGGGGTGTAAATCGAAGGTTTGAGGGAGGGGGGGGGTGCAAATCGAAAATTGAAAGTTTGTCAACGGGCGCCGGGAAAGGTCGCTACGGCTCTGGGGGGTGACACCATTAACTGCCGCACCGGGTGACACCCGACCTCGCTACGCCACTGGTAACAATCTATGAGAATCTCTATCCTAATATATAAAAACCCCCGTGCGCACTTCTCTCTCTCTCTCTCTCTCTCTCTCTCTCTCTCTCTCTCTCCCTCCCTCTCTCTCTCTCTCTCTCTCTCTCTCTCTGTCCGCAAAATATTTTCGCCGGACATCACGTCAGAAACTGCAGCGATATATGGAGAACTTTATACGGACTTTTGTTGAAAATAATAGGTTAGATGTTTTAAATGTATAACCAAAATTTTAATTAAAGAAGAAAAATAAAAAATAAAGGCGTATTCGAATGTAGAAAAACAATTTTATTTATGCAACCGGAAAAGTGTTTAAACTTGGGACAAGAACGCATTTAACAATGACGTCGGTTATTGTTTACACTAAAAAAAAGAGCACGAAACTGATGACGTCATCTTCCAAGTTTAGAATAAAAAGAAATGAACTATTTCATTCAAATATGATTTAGAGCTATGTACGCTATAAAATGTATACAATACGATTTTCTCGGCCTAAACTTGAAAAAATTATTTTATCTATTTGGATTCTAGATCCAGAGATTCTAGATCTAGATTTAGACTCTATCTACTGTAGAATCTATTCCAAAAATAAATTTCTATAATAAACTTTTTCAGGACTTAAATATTTTATAGAAATCTTTGTTTGTTTAGCAATGAAACTGGCTAATTTTGGGTAAAAAAAATAATTTGAAAAAAATAGGCATATTCGCGTAAGTTATTTTTTAAAAACACTTCTTTTATTCTCCATATTTTAAAAGGTACCTAATTAGCTGAGATGATAGTGTACTAGCTGAGATGATAGTGTACTTGATACCACACAGGTGGTGCCGGATCGAGACACACCAAGTCAAACTTAATTTTTTTTATATGTGAATCTTCCTATTTTAGACTATAAAGAAAGGATCTACTTTGGAAATCTTTGTTTATCTATGCAATTTGCTAATCTCTATAATATATGAAGTAAAGTTGTCGGGTGCCCGACATCGGGCACTTCCCGGCGCCGCAGGCGCTTCAAATTTGGCAGGATCTTGCCTTGGGGCGACAGAACACGGGGGCCGGTGCCGGTTGGCCTAAGGGTCTACGATGAGGGGGTCAAAACAGACCTCGACTGACCGGCGCCTTATATGAGCTATAAATCGAAAAAAATTTGTCCACGTAGGAACCTCCTCATAACTCCTGAGGTCGTAGACCGACCCTCGGGCGAATTAATTAAGCATTCAAATTCTCAATGTTTTTGAAAGCCTAAGCGTAGCTTGGCAGCATGCCTAGTAAATATATAACAAGTAAGTTGTAGTTAGAGCCCTTGCATCAAGCGAATAGAACACGGGGGAAATGGCGAGAGACTGCGACTGACCAGCGCCTTCAATAAACTGTATATCGAAACAAAGTCAAAAATCCCTGATCATTTTTGAGGTCGTGGAAATGTATTAAACAGAGTCATCATTTCCCCACCGTTTCTGGTCTTTAAAAGTGTAATATTACACAGGTGAAACAGACATGTATTTTACAATAATTAGAAAGTGGCTTGTGTTACCTTTTTTGTGTGTTATTGTGTTTTATAATGTAACTTGCCGTCGGTTCCCGTTACACGTGAATTATAGTCCTGTATATTTTAATGTTATACTAGTTTGAGAAAATTATTTTATAAAATAGTTGTCGGTCAAAAACGCAATGTGCTTTACTGCACGTTGAACGGTATTAGTGACAAAGCAAAGAAATAACTAAATAGTCCGTATCGTTGAGTTTTCCATGTATCGCTGAAGATATTTTGCGGATAGAGTGAAAGAGAAGTGTGCACGTGGGTTTTATTATAATATGATTGAAAATCCGTGTAGGTTATTTGTATCGGTGGTTTCTTTTTTTCTTCTATTGTACTAGGGTTTATCTTTTTTTTTCACGGTAACATTTTTCTACATATTTTTGTCTAACAGACTGTGAGCACTAGATCTATGCGTTTATGTTTTCATTTAAGTTTGTGTTTATGTTCGAGTTTACTTTTGCATTATTTTGAGTTATTGTTTGCAATTAGGTCTGCGTTTGTATCCGTGTTTGTGTTTGCGTTTTCGTTTGTGTTTTCTTTAAGTTGTGGTTGGGGTTGTGTTAGCGTTTGCGTTTGTGTTTGCTTTTTTGTAAAAATAACAAAGTGCGGGATAAAATTTAAATACACCAAAAATGATATATGATACAATCGAATGTAACAGTGGTTAAGTTCCTACTTAGCCGTAAAATTTGGATATGTAATGGATGTATTTGGTTACAAAAACTATACGTTTCAATTCATTGCAGATTACTTCTTATGGCTAGAAATAAATCTACTGGATCTGCTGACATTTAACTACATCTACTAGTTGTATCTACTGGATCTGCTGGCATTTAACTACATCTACTAGTTGTATCTACTGGATCTACTGACATTTAACTACATCTACTAGTTGTATCTACTGGATCTACTGACATTTAACTACATCTACTAGTTGTATCTACTGGATCTGCTGGCATTTAACTACATCTACTAGTTGTATCTACTGGATCTGCTGACATTTAACTACATCTACTAGTTGTATCTACTGGAGCTGCTGACATTTAACTACATCTACTAGTTGTATCTACTGGATCTACTGACATTTAACTACATCTACTAGTTGTATCTACTGGATCTGCTGACATTTAACTACATCTACTAGTTGTATCTACTGGATCTACTGACATTTAACTACATCTACTAGTTGTATCTACTGGATCTGCTGACATTTAACTACATCTACTAGTTGTATCTACTGGAGCTTGTATTTGATTGCATCTATGGAGCTGACCATTCAACTGATATTGTTTGCAACGATCGCCCTAGTGGTCCTAATTGCAATCTTGATTGCTGTTGTTCATAAAGTTAAATCGCAAACAGTTGACAGGTAACCCTAAGTAATACATGTTAATGACGTGAAAAAACTTTGCAAAATATGTAAGGTTGTCCATGGTCCAGCAGTCTTAAAACTGGCAGGTGCAGACCAGTCCCCGTGGTTGAGGTGGCCGTAAACCAAGTCATGTGATAGCGTTTAGACCTGCCATGATGGTGGACCTAAGGTTTTACACATTCGTGCAACCATTATATTCGGCTTATCAAATATTTTATACATTTTTTTAAAGCCTTTGATTTTTTTATCTTCAGGTTCCTGGTGAAAAACCCACCAAAAGACACCGTGATCCTCCACCAATATGGCGCTTCTCCTACAGTACCTAGTATATCACCTTACGTCATCAAACTTGAAACATACCTCAAAGTGGCCAAAATTCCTTACGTTGTGAGTTAGGTTATGGTTCTAAGTAGTTTGAATACATTGAGAATTATTGCTTTCGTACAAAGATTTTTTTTATTTTCATTTTAACTGTCAGTGCTAATGAACAAAACATAAAATACTTAAGGGTCTTGCACTTACCATGTTATGTATCGCAAATAGAGTTTTAGCTTTTGATTAAAATCTTCAAGATATAGATGCATATATTTTACTTCATGGACGTTAAATAAGTTTTCTGAGTTATATTATTGTGTACATGTCTGTGTGTACATGTCTGTCTACACTCAACTCTGTAACTTCTGGATATGATACATCCGTTCACCCTTCACGTTTCCGTTCACTCTTGATATTTCCGGACACCCTTACAAGCACAATCCTAACATACCAGGAGCATGCGTCATCAAGTCCTGTTAACTATCATTGAGTGGCTAGCTGCAGCCTGCATGTAACGGGTCACCCATATATCACGCCCAGACAGAGGGATCCACACAAAAATCGACTTTTGTGGACGAGGGGGGGGGGGGGGAGGTCTAAAATCTGAAATTTTTGGGGACATCATAAAATGATGACCCCTAACTAATGAGAGAAGAGCATCTTTTTACTTTCTCGTATACAGAGTATAGAGGTAGCATTGTAATCGCGATGAATAATTAACAAATATATTGAGATTTTACCCTTTTTTGCCTCCCGTTTTTACGTCTTTCTGTGTATGTCTGTGTTTACGCACGATAACTTGAGTACTGTTTCAGTTAGGTTGAAGAACTTTATATTTTCATTGTTTTTTCAACTTAAGAATTATTTCTTGAAATCGGAAGTGGTACTTCCTCTATTTCCGATTTCTCAAAAGCCTATAACTAGAGTATCGTTTAAATTTAGTAGACAAAATTGCTAGGTACTCTTTCTGTTACGTAGAAGAAATTTCATATGTAAATATAAGATTATTTTTGTGAATTACTTTCAATTTTTGAGTGACCTCAAAGGTGAAGTGCACTTAACTCTGTTTAATGTTACTAAAATACCTACAATTTGATTACCGTTTCAGTTAGGTAGACGAAATTTCATGTATAGGTTTAAGATTTTATTCTCTTGAATATATTAAATTTTAATTTAATTTCCGGTAATATATTTGTTTAGAACCATTACGATCGTAAGCCAGGACCTAAAGGCAAACTTCCATGGATACAGTTCAATGAACACGTGATACCCGATACACACTTCATCATTCAGTTCTTGAACAAAAAGTTTCACATCGACCTGAATAAAAACCTGAGCAGAGAACAGTTAGCGATTGGTCACATGGCACGGAGGACAGTTGAAGAATCGCTTTACTGGTAAGATTTGCAGCAACGCTGATTTTATTTGATTTTTTTTATTGTTTCTATTTCTCCAATACGGAGTGGAAGTGCTTATATCGTTCAATGGTAGTCGTAAATTTATCTTATTATATTTATAAGATAGCGCGTCGCGTATTTTGTCTTCTGTTGAACGCCAAAAACACTGTGCCATGTATTGAAATCGTGCTAAAATAGACATTTTAAACCTTCATGACCAGAAAAGCAATTTTGTCTGTCGTTCATTCTGTTTATCTATATACTACTGAAACTCCTTTGTTTACATGTTTGTAATTTATTTTTTGTTTGTTTGTCTGTTTCGTTATATGAGAGTATCTGCACTATGTGTAGAGCTGTAAAATACATATTTAGGTAGAAAATAATGTTCTTTTTTACCAAACTGTTAATCACAAATTCATTTAAATACGTTAATCGATATATTCATTGGTAGAAATACCACATCTATATATATAATTCTCTTCTTGGCTGTAAGCGCGCTCCCTACCACCCCCACCCCTACATGGTCTGGTGAACTGTGGTTCACGCTAAATGTTTACAATCGTAGAGCCGGGCTTAGTGACGGCTATTAGGGGCAGATAATGTAGTTTCAAACGATTTTAAAGTTAGGGGAGGTAACTAAGAGGAGTTTGCTTTCAGGGGGGGGGGGGTGGTGTGGGGTAGAGGTTAGAGGGGGGGGGGGGGGTATCGTCCTAAACCATCTGATAGTGTTTTAGAGCAAATATTTTCAGTGGCAGCATTGGTACTGTCGAATTCAAAAATTATGAATTACTGAAAAGTAGAAAATAAAACAACTAAATAGCGGCGTGTGATACGCTGCGGGTCGGCTCGAATATAGATTTAAATTCAGACTCAAATCATTACGGACTTCTTTAAATGTGTATACATCAATTGTGTGACACCAAAAAAAGGCAAAGTAACTGGTAAACGGCACCCCGACCTTTCCAAATGGGAGGGGGGGGTGCATTTTCTTTGAAGCGAATAGCTATTTATAGGCCTAATTTGAGGAGGGGCGAAAAATTGATAGTCCTTCATGGGCAACTAACGACTTTGAATATTACCTTTTCTTTAGTTTATATAATATAATCAAAATTATTAATTATTAGGTACTTTTTTATTAGGCCTATAGCAATTACACATTTTTGCGCCCCCTATGGATGGCGCCCTATGCGACCGCCTAGTTCGCCTTATAGGTGCCCTCTGCAAGCCACTGCTCTTGAAACGTATAGGAATAAAAGGCAACTCACACCGAAAAATGATCTATAAGGCCGAACCAAAAATAATTAGTTAAAAAGAAAAACATACAACAATAAGTAATACACAATAAAAACACAATTAATATTTAAAAGTCTTTATTAAACTAATTTAGTTCGTAAATATCACATATCTTATAATTGAAAAATGCAATAAATCTATCGAGATCTAAATTCTAGAATCTAGATCTAGAATATCTAGGTCTACGAAAAAACAAGAAACTCTACTATCCCGCTAATATTGTAACCAATCAGATGTGCCTAGATTGCTGAGATGATAGTGTAATAGTTACCATGCGGGTGGTACGGGTTCAAGACTCATCACGTTTAGATCTGAACTAGACTACCCGTTATCTAGTTAGATAACTGTGATTTCGGGGGGTCATCCATAAATGACATCACGTCTGCCATCACTTTTCATCCCAAAATAACCAGACCCCCACATTCAAAAAGACGTTTTTTTATATTTTAAAAACTCTACTAAACTACTTCACCTGCCCAGTGCCCCGCCAAGTCTCAGACGTGTTTGTATTTAAAAAAAAAAAAGATTCCGGCCGAACATGGCTCTGACCACACTATCCCTTCATATGCTGAGAACATAGAAACAGGTGAACTCTACTTCACCTGCCATGTGCCCCGCGAGGTCCTGATAGTCAACCTTATCATTCACATGTAGGACTTAAGAAAAAAATAATTGAAAACATTGTTGTAAAAAGAAAATAAATCTTTTTACTATTACTAAAGTCATTGTTCTAAACTTTTATAATTAATGTGGTTAATTTACCTATGAATATATCAATAAATTAATTAACGGCTTTAAATTAGTTTGTAATTAACAGTGTGTTTAAGAAGGAACAATATTTACCACCCAAAATCCTATTTTACAGCTCTACACATAATGCAGATTCTCCCCAATAACAAATCAGAAAAACAAACAAACAAAAAAATGAGTTATGAAACGTCATTATTCAGTCAAAGTTAAGCCATTGTTCTAAAACTTTAAAATTAATGTGGTTAATCTACCTATGAATAAATCAATAAATTAATTAACGTCTTTAAATAAATTTGTGATTAACAGTCTGTCTTAAAACAAAATTTGTTCTCTACCTACATACTATTTTACAGCTCTCCACAATGAGTAGAACCATTTACAATAGTCAATCAGACAAACAAAAAAACAAACAAAAAAATAAATATTCAAACATGTAAACAAACTTGAGTTTTAGTAGTATACTAGACTACCCGTTATCTAGTTAGCTAACTGTGGGTTTCGGGGGTCATCCATAAATTACATCACGTCTGTCAGTAATCATCACAAAATAACCAGACCCCCACATTCAAAAAGACTTTTTTATCCTTTAAAAACACACTATCCATTCATATACTGACGTCACAGGTGACCTTTAAAAAGTTCTATTTAATTTTAATGACACCGACTTTACAATTTAGCCTTCATTCTCCAAAGCAAATTTTAAAATGCTTTTCTTGCATATCTGGCCCTGGCCACCTAAATGTTTATATAACGTGAAAACCCGCCATAAGTAAGTGTTGGAAAGTAATAAATACAGCAAACGGACGTATTGTTAAAGTTATAGCCGACAGAAAATTAGCTTTAGAACGCGTTAAACTTTGGAATGGGAACACAATCTTCTTCGATAAACGCCGCCATTTTATTGTACTAAAAAGTAAACAAAAAATGTGACGTCACTGTTCCGTCAAGTCTAGTCGTTTTTCTAATCTTTTAAAATTAATGTGGTTAATCTACCTATGAATAAATCAATAAATTAATTAACGTTTTTAAATAAATTTTTGATTAACAGTCTGTCTGAAAAAAATTTCTCTACCTACATACTATTTTACAGCTCTCCACATAGAGTAGAACCATTTACAATAGTCAATCAGACAAACAAAAAAAACAAATAAATATTTAAACATGTAAACAAGCTTGAGTTTTAGTAGTATATAGATAGATAGATGATAAAGTTGCCTATCGGGACTTGGCGGGACACGGGGCAGGTGAAGTAGAGTTCAACAGTTTCTTTGTCCTCAACATATGAAGGGATAGTGTGGTCAGACCCATGCTCAGCCAAAATAGGAGTTTTTAAAAGATAAAAACGTCTAATGTGTGACGTCTTTTCGAATGTGGGGTCTGGTTTCTTTGTGACGATAAGTGACAGACGTGGTGTCGTTTATGGATTACCCCCGAGACCCACAGTTATCCAAGGATAATGGGTAGTCTAGTGAATACGAAAACTTTAGTATTGTACTCTTTTTGCGGTTTCTCAAACTTCATCAGGAACATTGTGTTGTGTATGTGGACATGAAACTAATTAGAACATTGTGTTGTGTATGTGGACATGAAACTAATTAGAACATTGTGTTGTGTATGTGGACATGAAACTAATTAGAACGTTGTGTATGTGGACATGAAACTAATTAGAACGTTGTGTATGTGGACATGAAACTAATTAGAACATTGTGTTGTGTATGTGGACATGAAACTAATTAGAACGTTGTGTATGTGGACATGAAACTAATTAGAACATCTCTCAGCCATCTTTATGTCAACCATTTTGAAGCCAAGAAGATATACGCCTACCATTTTGATGCCTCTCGTGTGTTTATTCCACAGGATTATGCTGACCTTTCGTCTAGTGTTTGAGAAATGCGGCACCATCTACAAGAAACTTGGTCTACCCATGTTTTTCATCTGGTACATGCGCGCCACTGCTAAGGGCAGGCTTTTTTCTCATGGTATTTCCCGCCATTCTGAGGATGAGGTCAGACAGTTGATGGAAGATGACCTCAGTGCTATCTCGGCTATTTTAGGTCTCGCATCAGTCTTCTTTTTCATTATTTATTGATTTACAGGCCCAGTCACAAGACGTAGGGGTGGGGGGTGTGAAAAATAATTTTTCATTTACTGACAAATTAATACTTGATCCAGTTGAAAATCTTAAACAGCAGAAGGAGAGGGATGACACCAAACCAAAATGGCTTGTTGGAAGGTTTGTGGGACACTTTCATTTACAGCATCGGGTTATACCCGACAAAGTGACGCCATTCTACACACCGATAGGCAGATATATAAACATTAGCGTACCTGTTAAGCGCGTTGCTGTGATCTAGTTCTATGCAGTGAGTAACGCAACATTTTATAAGGGTTACATTAATACATTACATATTTAGACGTGTATATCGGAAGCCATTGGTTACAACATTACCGCAGGGGCTCCGAGTGCAACTCCTGGTTTGGTGTAGTCGTTAAATATATGACGTGCACTACTGTAGGAGAATCTTTAAAAAGAAATATAGCAGCTATAGTGTTCACATGGGAACCCTGGCTAGCAGTTTGACAGTTGAATGAAGTAGGACCCCTGACCTCATGTGCAGGACTCTTACCCAAAGCGCACTCTACTGCTGGAGCCACGCCACTCCGAAAATATTTTATTGAAGAAACCTCCCCAGGAGTATTCTAAATATGAAAGGTGTAGCAATGCATAATGAGACACATAGGCCTACACTCCTTTTAATATAGCTGATCCGTCCCGCGTTGCTGACGCAATATTTTTAGAGGACTTCAACAATGCGTTACTATTTAATGATGAATTTTTAGATGCGTGACCTTGTTTCTAAAAACTGAGCTATTTAAATGTAAACAATGCCGGCATTATGTTTCTTGGATCTTATTTGTCCCAGCTGACACCAGACGTTCAAATGGGCGCTGTATAAAAGCCTAGAGTGGACGTTAATCAGTTAGAACACACCTAGGCGACTGTTTAGATGTCGCAGGGCGCTCTTGGAAACTACTAGTTACACTGAAGGGGTGCCGGGTACGGCACTTACTTCGGTTAAATCATCTGTCTTGTGCCACCGTGTCTCTATTGTAGGGTGCTCTATAAAACGGATATAGGCTCAATAGTGCTCATGGTGGGAGCGCTAGAGGACGCTCCTGATTTGAGTTGATGAATGTTATAGTAACCCATCGTATCCAAAGTGTATCACACTCTTTAAATCAAACATACGGACCATAGTGTTCACGGTGGAGCCCGGGGCGCCAAATCGCAACCTAGTGGCTCACCGCCCCTCTGAAATTTTTTTTTTTTCGCAGAAACCTCTCAATTAGTACTCTCCACAACGTTCGAAAGTTGTTGTAATGCATAAATTACAACCATTAACAATCTCTATTTTTAGATGTGTTATTTTTATTACTACTAATTATATTTAGAACAGTAGGCTGTAGCCTTTTCCAGTTTTAGTTCTAGACTTTTTATGGACAAAAGGAAACAACAAGGTTAATTTATTTTGCGAAATAATCTAAGCATGGTTAATTCATTTGATTTTTTAAAATTAGATAATATTCCTTATTATTATTATGGAGCCCTTGGAAAATTGAATTTCGTTTTCACAGAAACCTTTCCGGGATTATTCTAATCAGCTCCCAAAAGTTTCATGGCGATCGGATGAACAATGTAGTAGTAGGAAGGCATAAAGGACAAACACACACACACACACACCTTCATTTGTATATACAGACTAGCGTGCCCGTCCCCGCGTGTTGTTACGGTTTCAAAAGAAGGTCTAACATAATATTTTAAGAGGGTTTCGTCTATGCGTTACATATTTTGACGTGTGACCTTGTTTCTAACACTGAGTTATTTAAATGTAAACGCATACCCTAACCCACCTCCCAAAGTTTCATCCTTCCTGTCTTAAAACGGCCTCGCGAAAATTCTGGTACTTCTAACCGATTAATTTCTCTGAAATTCAGCTCGATGGTCAAGACCCAACGACAATGCAATATGGTATTAAATTTGATTTAATTGGATGAATAATTAATTTTTATTAATTAATTACAATTTTCTGAAACTAGTAGCGGTCCTATCCTACTATCCAGCACTATTATATGCGCGTTATCATGTTCATTTGGTGCGCAATAGTTTTGTAATGCAACTCTATTCTATTAAACAATTTAAGAGGATTTCATCAGTGCGTTACCAATCCTATATTCTTAGATGTGTGACCTTGTTTTCTAACACTGCATTATTTAAATTTAAACAATATTGCGCTATATATCTTTGTCATATTTGTCGTGTTGTATAAAACCTTGAGTGTACCTTAACCACTCTCCGAAATAGTGGGTAGAACACACTTCGACGAACGCCCGGTAATATGGACGAAAAGGGCGCTCTCGGGAGCCTCCGGTTACAAAACCTCAGGGGCACTGCGTACGGCCCCTGGCTCGGTTTAATCATCGTATCAATATTGTAGGTTGCTCTTTAACACGATTGTAGGCGCCATAGCAATCACGGCTCCTGATTCAATTTAACAACCATAATGCAGGGGCGTAGCGTGGGGGGGGGCGGGGGGTGCGGACCGCACCGGGTGACACCATTTAGGGGGGTGACACCAAGGCAAAAAATAGCAAAATATATAGAGAAAAACTCGAGGGGGGGGGGGGTGCAAATCGAAAGTTTGAGGGGGGGGTGCAAATCGAAAACTTGAGGGGGGGGGTGCAAATCGAAAGTTTGAGGCGGGGGTGCAAATCGAAAACTTGAGGGGGGGGGGGTGCAAATCGAAAGTTTGAGGGGGGGGGTGCAAATCGAAAATTTGAAAGTTTGTCCCTGGGAAGGGTCTCTATGCCTCTGGGGGGGTGACACCATTAAGTGCCGCACCGGGTGACACCCGACCTCGCTACGCCACTGCCATAATGCCCCATCTTATCCATAGCCGATCGCATTGTTCAAAACGAACGTATGCGCCATAGCGCTAACGGGAATGACAGGGGCGCCGCATCAGCGAAATTGAATTTATTTTTTCAGTCACCTCCCCTGGAGTATTCTTATCAACTCCCCAGTTTCATGGTGATCGAATGAAGGGTGCAGTTATGCATCAAACAAACACAAATACTTTCATATATATATATATATATATATATATATATATATATATATATATATATATATATATATATATATATCAATATACTAGCTTATATCCGTGCTTCGCCACGGTGTGGATATAAATATTACCTCAGTTTACCGCGTTGGGCGCGGGTCACCGCATTGGGGCGGATATTCCTTCAGCGGTATCTGTAGCACTTAGGTGTGAATATGTATATTCACGAAAATTAAATTACGGTAAAAAAAAATAGAGAACCAACGCTCTCACGAACGTCCGCCTAGACATCTCTCCTCCCCGAACTCGCGGCGTAATTTAAACCCCCACCAAACAACACGTATATATATCTATCTATCTATCTATCTCTCTCTCTCTCTCTATATATATATATAGATAGATAGATAGATAGATAGATAGATAGATAGGATTAAAAAAAGAAACAGCTCCATTGTCTGATAAAGACGATTGTATGATTGCACCTGTAGAATGTTTTTGAGAAAGTCATCTAAAACTTTCACATCACCTACGTTTGACATTTTACCCAATTAAAAAACCAACGTAAAAAATATGCCATTTACCACCTGGTCTCATAGTTATTTCTATGAATTAGCCCAAGCTTCGAACATTTCTATGAATTAGCCCAAGCTTCGAACATTTCTATGAATCAGCCCAAGCTTCGAACATTTCTATGAATTAGCCCAAGCTTCGAACATTTCTATGAATTACCCCAAGCTTCGAACATTTCTATGAATTACCCCAAGCTTCGAACATTTCTATGAATTACCCCAAGCTTCGAACATTTCTTTGAATTAGCCCAAGCTTCGAACATTTCTATGAATTAGCCCAAGCTTCGAACATTTCTATGAATTACCTCATGCATTGAACATTTCTATACATCAACAGGCCAGAAGCGTTTTCTGTTTGGCAACTCAGTTGAAGATGTGACCGAGTTTGATTGCGCTGTGTTCGGTCAGCTTTGTCAGATGGTGTGGCAGATGCCAGACTGTCACGTAGAAGACGTTATTGCTGGTTGGTTTTGTTACATACTACCACATACATATACATTATGTTTATGGGTCCGCATTTGCAAGCCTATGTTTTGTTTGAAATTAACATTAAGAAATTATATTTTAACTGTACTTAGGTTTTTTATTATGTAAGACATGTTAGTTAAATCGATGTTGCTAAATAAAAACTAAAACAGGTGCTAATTTAATATTAATTTCACCAGGAAATTTTCCTAATCTGGTGGAATACTGTACAAGGATGAAGACAGAATTCTGGGCTGACTGGGAGCAGAGGTTGCTCAAGCAGCATTAACGGACCTTACAAATAACGTTAGCAGCGCATATCTCATAACCCTAAAACCGCCATTCATATTAGACCGCACATATTTTCATTCAAGTTATAAATTTACCACTTTATGTCTGATTTCACATCTATTTCTTTTAAAGTTCTAGGGAAAAGTGTGAAAATTTGGAGTTATGAAATTATTTTAGTTTCCAACCACCTAAGTTAGTGGATAATTTACTACTTTAATAAAGTTATCTTTCTGCAAATAAGCAATGTGTAGATAAGCATAGTCTAAAGGGTTTCAAGGTGGTAAACAGGTTACGTCATAAAATTATGTAAAATAATGTATAATAAACACTGTCCACTACAAGTGGACGCCAAACGTGCAATATAAACCTACGACATATGAACACTCGCTGTTTATCCGAATTATTTTCATTTTATAAATGCTTACACGTGTATGCCAAATTGGCTCTTTTTCAAAATAAATTACAGATTTTTACTGAACCAAAATTCACATGTTTGTGAAATAAAATAAATAAATAAAAATGTGCTATTAAAATTGTGTTGACTGCATCGAGTTTTCTTAAACAAAAAATTGAAGTGTAATGAGGTGTGGAGAGATGACTAGAATGAATGTAGTGAGGTGTGGAGAGATGACTAGAATAAATGTAGTGAGGTGTGGAGAGATGACTAGAATAAATGTAGTGAGGTGTGGAGAGATGACTAGAATAAATGTAGTGAGGTGTGGAGAGATGACTAGAATAAATGTAGTGAGGTGTGGAGAGATGCATAAATGTAACATAAAACCCTAACAGTAATCAAAGACTCAACACTGAGAAATGATCACATCGTGAATATATTTTATTTTGTTTAAAAACAAATCTGGATATCTCTTTTAGCAGCTATTGCTTGTGCTGTTTCTTACCATAAAAACTCTTTACTTTAGCCATATTTTATGTCTGTCAAAACTATATTAGCCATGCTTCATTCTTCACAAAAATATTGTCATTAGCAGTGATTCATACTTTACAAAAAATGTGTCATTAACCAGCTTTGTAACTTAATTAGCTATGTTTGATATAGAAAAGAATAAGAAGAGGAATTATTAAGCTTATCAATTATTTTAAATCATTCAACATCCTACCATACATCAGACAGTGCATAAGCTAGAATTATTTTTTAAATCATACAAAATACTTTATATGCTACAATTTTTAAAAATCATACATCAGACACTTCATATGCTATAATTATTTAAAATCACTCAACAACCAATTATACAGGTTTTTTTAAAAAACAGAATTTGGACAGTCAAAAATCATATATTATCACTGCAGCAATCCTAACAAATAGAACATAGTAAACCTGCAAAAACTGCACCAAGTAGGAATATTTGTTTCTATCGTATCACCAAACTGACTTAAATCAGACTGTATGCTGATAGCTTGACAACCCAGTCAGACTGTATGCTGATAGCTTGACAACCCCAGTAGGAAAGTATTACAACCTTTATTCAAGTCAGAAATGACTGGACTAGTGTAGTATGTGGATAAGTGGCAGTAACTGGTCACATCAAACCACATTTAGTGGAACAACTACTTTATTACGTACTGCATAATTTTTAATCTTTAACCAATGATTGTCTGTTGCCATAGCAACCCTTAGTGTCATGCCTCATTGTCAAAGACAAAAAGCATTTCTGATTTGCCTAGACCCACCTCAGCAAAGGTTGGGGGATCACTATCTGAATCTTTTGGTTCACATGGTAATGTTCTTCGCGGGAAATTTGTGACTATTTGAAAATCATCTGGACAGTCTTTGTGACAGAACACATAATAGTAAAGCCACTGGGGAAGAAACATCAAACACATAGCAAGTGATATCAAACAGGTAGCAAGTCTGATCAAATTCATAACAAATCTACTTTTCAAACATTTAGTTAGGCTAGTCTAACCTTGGATTAAAATTTATCAAATGTTCATTAGTGTTAAGTGAGAAGATCAAGCCTGATTGAACAGTATGTAACGTACAAGGTTCAAGAATAGGTTTCAGGCAGCCTTAGTTTGAGAATAATGTTTGCCTGGGCATCTAACATCCATATTACGAATTGTAATGATCATAAGCTAAACATACCTTGAGAGAATGATGTCTATGAAAGCGCCTTTCAATCCTGCTACCATTTGGAATTTTCAGCATGATTCTAATAGAGTCAGGGTCAGAAACATCTGGTTCTGGGGGCAGCTGTTTCTCCAAGTCACTTTTTTTCTCTTCTCTTTCCTGAAATGGGACAGAACCTACTCAGTTGAAAAATCTAGCAAGAAATCAGACTTGACAGAAATCAGACTTGATTCAATAGATGTCAATTTCTGTGGCACAGAGTGGGCCTTGTGAGAAACAAGACGGAATTACGTCAGATAGTAGTTTACAACTTACCAAAAACTGCTGTTCGCGCTCTTCATTAGCACGCCTCCTTTGATTTTCTTCTTCCTCAAGTTTTTCCCTTTCCTCGCGTTTTTTTTTCTCCTAAATTATAATTGTAGCACAATTTATAGTGTGTAAACTCTAATGTATCAATATAACAAAGAGATGAATATATACATAGAAAATGTGTTGCTGCAGAGAAACCAGTGTAACATGGTGTGTTTTTAAAGAGAGCCCAATATCTAAATCTGATGTGATGTTACAGAGAGCCCAATATATAAATCTGATGTGATGTTACAGAGAGACCAATATGTAAATATCTGATATGTGTTGTTACAGAGATCCCAATATATAAATCTGATGTGTGTTGTTACAGAGAGCCCAATATCTAAATCTGATGTGATGTTACAGAGAGCCCAATATATAAATCTGATGTGTGTTGTTACAGAGAGCCCAATATATAAATCTGATGTGTGTTATTACAGAGAGCCCAATATATAAATCTGATGTGATGTTACAGAGAGCCCAATATATAAATCTGATGTGTGTTGTTACAGAGAGCCCAATATATAAATCTGATGTGTGTTGTTACAGAGAGCCCAATATATAAATCTGATGTGATGTTACAGAGAGCCCAATATATAAATCTGATGTGATGTTACAGAGAGACCAATATGTAAATATCTGATATGTGTTGTTACAGAGATCCCAATATATAAATCTGATGTGTGTTGTTACAGAGAGCCCAATATCTAAATCTGATGTGATGTTACAGAGAGCCCAATATATAAATCTGATGTGTGTTGTTACAGAGAGCCCAATATATAAATCTGATGTGTGTTATTACAGAGAGCCCAATATATAAATCTGATGTGATGTTACAGAGAGCCCAATATATAAATCTGATGTGTGTTGTTACAGAGAGCCCAATATATAAATCTGATGTGTGTTGTTACAGAGAGCCCAATATATAAATCTGATGTGATGTTACAGAGAGACCAATATGTAAATATCTGATATGTGTTGTTACAGAGATCCCAATATATAAATCTGATGTGTGTTATTACAAAGAGCCCAATATATAAATCTGATGTGTGTTGTTACAGAGAGACCAATATATAAATCTGATGTGATGTTACAGAGAGCCCAATATCTAAATCTGATGTGATGTTACAGAGAGCCCAATATATAAATCTGATGTGTGTTGTTACAAAGAGCCCAATATATAAATCTGATGTGATGTTACAGAGAGCCCAATATATAAATCTGATGTGATGTTACAGAGAGCCCAATATATAAATCTGATGTGTGTTGTTACAAAGAGCCCAATATATAAATCTGATGTGATGTTACAGAGAGCCCAATATATAAATCTGATGTGTTTAATAAAGAAAACAAACCTTTTCCTGGTCAGCCTTCAGTGACTCTAAATATGCCTCATCCTGTTGCTGGCGTAAAGATTGGTTGAAACTTCGCTCAGCTCTGTACGAATATAACAACATTGCAATGAGACTGCACAAGTGGTGAAATGTAAACTGCTATACACCAGCTCTTTCAACACAGAGCCAGGTGAGTACACCTATTCACCAAACCCATTTCAATAACAAATACTTTTCACCATGTCCCTCCCAAGTGTTGTCATTTAATAAAACCATGTCCACTATCCTTAATATAAAACTATTACTGTATTACTTAGGCATACATGGTACTGTATTTATACTTGTAATTTATGTAAGAGCCACATGACATTTAAACTCCTATTTTCTTCCATTTTGTGGCTGTTATCCTATCCCCTTTGCTAAATGTAATGAAATAAAATAAATAATGCGCAAGATTCAGAAGTTCATGTCACAAAATATTTCAGAAATATTTTACTAAGAAATCATTGAGTGATGAGTTTAAGAAACCATAAGACTATCAACATAGGCTCTCATTATCATTTTAAGAGAAACGAGGTGGGGGAGGGAGAGGGGGGGGGGGGGGTGTGTGAATGCTTAAAGAAGAAACCTTCACCCTGCAGATACTCGTTTTATATTTTTGTCACACCATTTTCCTCTACCTTCTGAATACACCCAAAGTTCCATTGCCCACGCAACCATTACACCGTTTGAGAACATCAGATCTAAATCACAACACTAAGTCATGGTAAGTTGCCTAATGTCAAAAAAAAATTGAGTGTGCTATCTATCTATTATGTCCTTTAGTGCTACCTTGTTTATGTGTAACCCTTTACCTTTCTGCTCTTGCTGCAACTAAAGAAGTTTCATTTTCAGCCATAACTTGTTCAAGTCTGTCAATCAGTTCTTGTGTACCTAGAGTAAGAGAGAAACTTTTCATTTCATATGGGTCAACTAATAGTTCACTCAACCTGATATACATGTCATTTGACAATTAAAAGGGGAACAGGGCATTACCCCCACCCCCCCCCCCCCCCCCCGAGTAGGAAATTACCCCCCCCCCCCCCTCCCCCGACACAGATTTAAGTACAGCTAGGGTTAGGGCTATGGTTAGGGTTATGGTTGGGGCTATGGCTAAGGTTAGGGCTAGATTTAGGATAAATTAAGGTTAGTTTTATGGTCAGGGTTACTGTTATGGTAAAGGCTAGTTTTGTTTTTGTGTTTTTAGGCTGAGGTGAATGCTTAGGTTTTGGTCTTTTTCTGAAGGTTAGGATTAAGGTAATATATAGGTATAGAATTTAAGTTAGAGTTAGGATTCTAACTTGAGGGGGAAAGGGTAATTGACAGGGGGGTAATTGCTCCAGGGGGTAAATACAGGATGGGTGGGGATGGGGGTTGTAATGTCCTGTAGCCCCTAATAGTTCACTCATCAAAATTTGAAAGAAGGCAGAGAATTAGATCTTTTACTTATGTGAAATTTTGTCTATCTATCTGAAAGTACTCAAGTTACAGGCTTTTGAAATTGCTGAAAAGTTGATACAGAACTACACATTTAATTTATGTATATATGAAATTTCATCAACCTAGCTGTAATGGTACTCAAATTATCGCGTTCACAGACATACACACACAAAAACATATGGACAAGATTGCAAAACTAAGTTTTCCCGACTCAGGGAAATGTAAAACGGTGAGATTTGTGAACATCGAGATTTAAGAAAATCTCGATTTCCATTTTTTGAACTATTACAAAACTTCCTCTTTACTTCGTATACAACAAAGTAAAAAAGGACATTATTCTCTACATTAATACTTCTTTTACAGTTCTACACATAGTTCAGATGCTCTCATCTAACGGAACAGACAAACAAACAAAAAATAAACATACAAACTTTTGACTTAAAGCGTAATATAGATATAGATTTAAGACTCACATAAGTAAGTAGACATTTTTTTAAAAAGAATTTATGTCCTCAAACGCTTCAAAAGAACTATATTCATTTTTAGAAGCAGATTTTTATATTTTAATTAACTAAGATGTTACTTTGAATTTTAGAGCAAGATCAACTTTGTAATACATTATGTGTATTTAATCAGGAAAATTTTAAGTGTGCAACAGAAAATGTGTCTAGATAAGTGGCATGTGGAAAAAGTTTGTTTTAAAGCATCACACCTTTAACATACTAAATTAGATAAACAAGCCGACCCGCGATGTAGCCGCTATTTAGTTGTTTAATTTTCCACTTAGACGCTACCAATGCTGTAAATGAAAATATTTTGGTTTAAAGCACTATCAGTAGCTTGTGAAGGTCGATTATCAACAATCCCTTCCCCCTCCCCACTTGAAAGCAGTCGTCTGTGACTACAGTTTACAGTCGAAATGAAAAACAATTAAAGCAGAACTTTTTATTATTTCCCCTTTGTTTAAAAACTAAATTATCTGCCCCAAATAGCTGTCACTGATTCGACCCGGTTCTACGATTGTAAACTTTGACGTGAACCACAGCTCACCAGACTGGTGGGGTGGGGCCAGTAGCGATATGCCTAGAGAACAGGGTAGGAACTGCTTAGCCCTGACGTGGTGGTGCCTCGCATGGTCCCCATGGAGAAAATTATATATATAGATACTGCATAAAAATTAATACTTTAAAATTGCATGATCTGTAAAAAACAAATTGTACCCCCAAAAAATAAATTCAGTAACAAAAACTGATTTTCCATCCTGTCTATAACTTTTGAAAGCATGATACACTAGTTAGCTATACATTTGGTAGTTAAGTCATTTACCCCAAGTGTCAATGACTTAGCTACCAAATGTATAGCTAACTAAAAGCTGTCAAATATGCTGCCTTATTTGTAAAATCAACAAATATCCAAAATAAAGAGTTACCTGTGATGCTCCCCTCTATGCGAGCCACAACACTCATTCTATTCTCTCTCAGCACTATGACAGCTAAAAAAGGGTAGGCGTGTTCCCTCAAGGCTTGTGATACTGAAATAACATTTCATTCTCAAAATAGAACAGGAATGGTATGATCAGATCATTTAGGTGTAATATGATCATTTGGGTATAAAAAGATCATTAAGGTGCCATAAGATCATTTAAGTATGATATGATCATTTAAATATGCAAATAGTGGTCAATGCAGGTAACACAAGAAAGCTAAATGAATGCCTCACCCCTATAGCCTTCAGGACTACTGGTGTTACAGGCCCAGAACAACATACTGCTATTGACAAAAGTTATTAAATTATCACTGCATAGAACCTCCCTGGAAAGAAAACAGATTTGAATAAAAATAACTTGCATTGCCATTACAATTTATCTATAAAGTTGTACTTTAAATAGAGAACCAAAAATGCTACATCCTTGCATGCAATGCATTGGATTGTTAACAAATACAAGACTGAAGTCTTATGTACTGCCTAAATTTTTTGGTTGTCTGCAAAGTTTCCAGCTGCTCGCAAATTGACAAAAGAACAAAGAAAATAATGTTTACTTCCACATTTTTAAACTAGGTATACCTACTCAATGTCAAATAATATACTCTTTTAGTCTGCTGGAATGAAATAAAATTACAACGGTAGAGTAAATAAAATTAATTTATTAAATTTTGAAGGTAGGGGAGATAATATAAAAGGGAAATACTTTGATATCCAAGTTTATATTTAACTAGCGTGCCATACGTGTGTTGCTGCGGACTCAGAAGTAAGTCTGAAGAAACATTTTTGCTTGCACTGTATTTCTTGGATCATATTAATTATTTGTTGGTCATGGGTTTGCCCACACTATCACCCAGCACACCAGCGTGCTGTATGAAAGCCTAGAGTATAGGTTAATCACTCTCCGTAATAAGGTAGAACACACTTCGGCAACTGCTCAGGTGACAAGGACGTAGAGGAGCACTCTCGGGAGCCTGCGGTTACACGAACGCAGGGGCACCACTTACAGCCCCTGGCTCGGTTTAATCATTGAATGTCTAGTGCCACAAAGTTAATAATGTAGGATGCTCTTTAAAACTATCATAGGCACCATATAACTCACAGGATAGCCCGGGGTGCCAAATCGCACCCTGCCGACGTCGACGCTTGATTAAGTTTAGTGAACAACTATAATATACCATCTTATCCATAGGCTATCGCACTGTTTAAAATTAACATGGGCCCCATACCGCTCGGATTAAAGGTGTAGTAATGCATACAGAACAAACAAACAGATATAAATTTCCATTTATCTATTTTTTTATGCTAAGGGTCAAGATTTAGTGAGGTTGAAGGTTTAATAATAAGTTTATTATTTTCCTTAAGTTCCTTAAGTTGGCACAGAGCTTTATGGTAACTAATAGCGTTGTCTTAGCAGTACGTATTTGTTTTTAAAAATTCTTGCTGATTTTTCTATAATAATTTAAGTGTCATGATTAAATAAATGTTTGGAAAATATTATATTTGCCATGACTAACGTTTAGGATTTTATGGCTCAACTATTATGAAAACCACTAACACAGACATGCCTACCCGTCAGCCAAATGTAGGAACAGTCATGCCTAAAAAGAGGAATTTGAAGACAAAAAGAGGAACATATGCCCCGACGTTAATTACTGTCAAAAAAAAAAATTACTAAAGAAGTCTAATGACATTAGTTAGAAGGCTTCTAGTTATATATTACTAGTCTCTAGTAGGCCAATCGATTCAACGCTTCAAGGTTTGTCATTTTTGTGGCATCTCACGGCTCATGCGCTTACTAAAATGGCAAGCAGTTTCGCTTTCACTAAATGGTAGAGGGATAAAACTATTGATTACGATGTTTACGCTTTCTTCATTGATGATCATTTTTATTATTTATTAAACTAAATTATGAATTATTGGTCAGACTGCAGGCTTTGTAAATACTTACCCTTTATCAATTTTCAAAAGCATAGCATGCTGATTGTGTATAAATAGTCATAAAACACAGAAATATTAAGTTCCAATTGCGATGTGCCACACCCAGGCCACACCCCCTCAAGAAAGCATGTGTTTATTAAGCTGTTTATCACACTTTACTACAGTAATTAAAATTAATTTTCAATTTTTTTTTACTTATTTGGGTAAGATTAAGCACATTTTTACAAATAATAAAAAAAAAAAACAATAGTAAATTCTGTTTTAATGAAGGTCATAGGTCAAGTATTTTTTCCTTCAGTCAAGTTCAGTGGAGGGTGCCATATGCTGACCTGACTTTGAATTTTTTTCCCATAATAATGACTTTGCACAGAAAGTTAAAATATGCTAAATTGGCTTAGTTTAGTAATGTGCTAGCTATTATTGATAAATTTTTAATAGAAAAATCTTTCTGAAATTCTCATCAAATAGCCTAGTCTCTAGGCTACATTTAAATACTGCTTAAATGGCAGCTTACATTTTTAGCGCAATTTCCATTCTGGAGAATTGCGATTATTAACTCGTCATTTCTGGGAATGGATGGATGTGTGTCCGCAGCTTTAAGTCGTATCTCCTCCTCAACGAAGCAATATCGAGGACTAGTTCCAAAAGCAAATATGTTAAGCAAGTTCCAAGGATGATTGTGGGCTAAAATAATTCCCGGAATTCCTTCCTGGATTTCCCGGAAAAGCCAAAAAACCTTGAACAAATGCAGTTTTTGCTCCATATCTCGGCAACCAGACCACTTAGCGACTTGAAACATATACCAATCGATTCCTGCCATAATTTAGACCAAATATTGCCGAAGAAAGTTTGGTCACAAAATATTTTTTAAAATTATTTAAACTGAGCATCTTGTAGGCCTAGGATGATATTTTAAACTGAGCATCGTGTAGGCCTACTAGAAGAAGCGAAGCGGTGAAGTTCCAAACCAAGCACACCGGCTCAGGCAGTCGCTAGTGAGAGGTAACGTCTACTTGACGCATGTTAATTAAGGAAATTGCGCTTAAATTGTCACTAGACTTTTTATTAATTTGTTTTTAAAAAGTTAACCAGTAACCTGAGCTCCTCTTCTCCCCAAAAGTAAAAACTAGATTGTCCACATTATTTGTAGGTAGATCTAGTACTAGTATTAGATGATACTTATAAATATTGAAAGTAAACTAGGAAACGTATGCCAAAGGGAGATAATCATTTTTCCCTGCCTTTTTTTCAATTTGATTTATTACTTTTCTTTAATAATTATTTTTACCAGAAAAAAAAAAACGGGACAAACTTTGACAAAAATGGGACGGCGGAACAGGAAACGCTTTTTTTTTTAAAAAGTGGAACAATTCCGCTTTTGGCGGGACGGTAGGCATGTCTTTTAACATAAATACAATAGTTAGGATAATACAGTTACATTAAAGGCGTTGTTCACAGAGTAAGTAAGTAAAATGTCCTTTCAAACCTGACAGTCCATGGGGCAGGTGAAGTAGAGTTCACATGTTTCAGTGACCTAGGCATAAGAAGGGATAATGTGGTAAACACTATGCCCAGCCGCCTTTATTTTCCCACAGGTACCTATCAGAGCTGGGTGGACTGAGGGATATTCTACTGATATAGACTTCACTTTAAATGCTAGGTTTACAATTAAGGTAAATGCTAAAACAAAAATTGCAAAATTAAGTTCTTCTGACTCAGGGAGGCCTAAAACGTCATGATTTGTGAAAATCTTGAATTTGATTTTTTGCACGATTTTAATACTTCCTCTTTACTCTGTATACGAGAAAGTAAAAACAGACCTATTGATCAAGTCTCACCAAAATTAATAAAGGTTTTGGCAATCTAAACTTTAGCAAAGTCTAGTGAACATTTTCTTTTGTCATATAACAATAATAAACTGTTTCAGTACTGTCAAATGCTTGAAAACTAAGGCAATAATACTGGCATATCAAATATTTGTTAAGGACAAGGCTAGTAGGGAAGGGATGAGTATATCAGGAAAGTAAATCAATGGATGGTGGGTCTCAGGGTTAGGGTGAAGGGATGAGTATATAAGGAAAGTAACTCAATGGATGGTGGGTCTCTGGTTTAGGGTGAAGGGATGAGTATATAAGGAAAGTAACTCAATGGATGGTTGGTCTCTGGTTTAGGGTGAAGGGATGAGTATATAAGGAAAGTAAATCAATGGATGGTGGGTGTCTGGTTTAGGGTGAAGGGATGAGTATATAAGGAAAGTAAATCAATGGATGGTGGGTGTCAGGGTGAAGGGATGAGTATATAAGGAAAGTAAATCAATGGATGGTGGGTGTCAGGGTTAGGGTGAAGGGATGAGTATATAAGGAAAGTAAATCAATGGATGGTGGGTGTCAGGGTGAAGGGATGAGTATATAAGGAAAGTAAATCAATGGATGGTGGGTGTCAGGGTGAAGGGATGAGTATATAAGGAAAGTAAATCAATGGATGGTGGGTGTCAGGGTGAAGGGATGAGTATATAAGGAAAGTAAATCAATGGATGGTGGGTCTCTGGTTTAGGGTGAAGGGATGAGTATATAAGGAAAGTAAATCAATGGATGGTGGGTCTCTGGTTTAGGGTGAAGAGATGAGTATATAAGGAAAGTAAATCAATGGATGGTGGGTGTCAGGGTGAAGGGATGAGTATATAAGGAAAGTAAATCAATGGATGGTGGGTGTCTGGTTTAGGGTGAAATGATGAGTATATAAGGAAAGTAAATCAATGGATGGTGGGTGTCTGGTTTAGGGTGAAGGGATGAGTATATAAGGAAAGTAAATCAATGGATGGTGGGTGTCAGGGTGAAGGGATGAGTATATAAGGAAAGTAAATCAATGGATGGTGGGTCTCTGGTTTAGGGTTAAGGGATGAGTATATAAGGAAAGTAAATCAATGGATGATGGGTGTCTGGGTTAGGGTGAAGAGATGAGTATATAAGGAAAGTAAATCAATGGATGGTGGGTGTCAGGGTGAAGGGATGAGTATATAAGGAAAGTAAATCAATGGATGGTGGGTCTCTGGTTTAGGGTTAAGGGATGAGTATATAAGGAAAGTAAATCAATGGATGGTGGGTGTCTGGGTGAAGAGATGAGTATATAAGGAAAGTAACTCAATGGATGGTGGGTCTCTGGGTTAGGGTGAAGGGATGAGTATATAAGGAAAGTAAATCAATGGATGGTGGGTGTCAGGGTGAAGGGATGAGTATATAAGGAAAGTAAATCAATGGATGGTGGGTGTCAGGGTGAAGGGATGAGTATATAAGGAAAGTAAATCAATGGATGGTGGGTCTCTGGGTTAGGGTGAAGGGATGAGTATATAAGGAAAGTAAATCAATGGATGGTGGGTCTCTGGGTTAGG